GGGACCCCCATAGCGAGAGACCCCCCATGGGTGGTGTGGGGGACTCTTCCCATAGCAAGACCCCCAGTGCATTGCGTGGGGGCTCCCATAGTGAGAGATTCCCCCACCAGCAGAACCCCCACAGTGTACTGTGGTAACTCCTACACCGGGAGACCCCAGATTCCTGCGCTCTGCTGGGACTCCCCAGACCAGGAGACCTCCAGTGTGTCGTGCAGACTCCTATGGTAGAGCCCCCCCCCCAACTCCCATATACAATAAGACTTTCGCCTTCCCCTCACAGTCCGTTCTTCCCCCATGTGCTGTGGCCTCCTCCAGGATATTGAGAGCCCCTTCCTCCCAGTGTGCCGTGAGACTCGCCCCCCCCTCCCAGAATATGGAGAGCCCCCCCCCCTAATGCACAGCGGGATGCCCTCCTGCCCCCGCAGGATGCATGGTCCTTCCTCCCAGCCCAGATCCCTGTGCCCCTGCAGGGTACCAGGAGACCCTCTCCCTCCTCCTCCCCTCCCCCTCTTCACCAGTCCCCCTCTTCCTCCCTCCCTCCCTCCTTTTCCTCTTCCCTCTCTCCCTGCTTCCTCTCCTCCTCCTCCTCTTTTCTCCCTTCCTCCCCCCTCTCCCTCCCTCCTTCTCTTTGCCTCCCTCTTTCTTCCTCCCTTCCTCTTCCTCTCTCTCCTCCCCTTTCTTCCCTCCCCTTCTCTCCCTCCCTTCCCTCCCCCTCCCCCTCCATTTCTCTCCTTTCCTCCTCCTCCTCCTCCTCCTCTCCCCTCTCTCTTTTCCCCTCTCTTTGCTGGGATCCCTTCCCTTCCCCTCCTCCTAGGTGGGACCCTCCCCAGCCCTCCCAATGCCAGAGGTCTCTCAGGAGCCCCTCACATACCAGGGTTTCCCTCATGTGCCAAGGGCTGCCTTACTAATAGCGTGAGACTCTGCCAAAACTAGCCTTTCCTTTCTCAGGCATACGGGGGCCTCTGTAGGGACTCGGGACCCTCCCCATTTCTGCAGCAGGGAGGTCTTTCTCTCCCAATATACCAGGGGGATTGCCGAGGTAGCCTCCCCCACTGCATGTTCTTCAGACCCTCCCCTAATATGCCAGCAACACCTGTCCCCTCAGTGTTACATCAGGTTCTCTGCGGCCTGTATTGGGAACCTCCCTCACACTACGTTCTGTGGGACCCCTCCCTCTGTCCAGAGGATCCTTCTCCCCTAATTATACGCTTCGCTCTCCTTGTTCCTCCTTCAGCCCCCTTTGGTAAGTTGGGCAGGGCACCTCCCTTTCCTCCACGTCCTCCTTGCCTTCCCTTCTTCTATGTACGTGGCCTGATCCCCGCTAGCCTCAGGACCTCCCTCCCCACTTCCTTGTCATCGGGTCACTTGGAGACCTTTCCTCCTCCTCCTCCTCCTCCTTGGAGGAGTCTGGTTCAAGCACATGGCCCGCCTTCAGTCTCTGGGGACCCGTCTAGACTCTACCTTCTCCAAGGAGACGGGAAGGGTTTGTAAGGATGGAAGAGAATTTTAAACAGAAGGGAGTGAGGAAGTTCTCTCCAGGGGAGAAAACTTGGAGGGGTGCTGGGGTCTCTCTTAGGAGGGGAGGGGGAAAGAAGGAGCAGGGTTTGGGGGTCTGAGGCAGCAGGAAGGATCCCCGCTGGGGACAAGGAGGAGAAGAGATTACCAGTAAAGTCCAGGTTTCTGTGATGGAGGCCTCTACAGATGATAACAGGGGAGTCTTCAGGAATTGATGGAGGGACACCTGAAAAAATACCAGAGCAAGCTTAAATTGCCTTCAGTGCTGACTGGTGTGGGGTGGATGGGGGGCATTCCAGAGGGGGTATTTGGGTAGAAGGAGAAGCCCCAGCTGGGCAGGGTTAGTACCGGGGCTGGGTGCCTGCAGCCCAGGAGAGGCCGGGCAGAAGGAGTCTTGGGGGTCTGCTGTAGGCATAGGTGCCTCCCAACGTGCCCCTTAGCTGGTGGGGCTTGTTCCTGGCCCCGGGATTGTGTTTTGTATCGTGGGTCCACACTCTGGAGGAGGGGCAGGTCCCCAGAGGTGGTCAGTGAGGGGAATGCCAGAAGGGCCAGCCTGAAGCTTAGCTTTCTGGCTGTGACTGTGGACCAGCTGTCACATTTGTGAGCCTCATTGTCAGTAAAGAGGCCCAGTAAAACCCGAATTGGGAGGCTTGGACTGGAAGGGGCTTGAGAAATCTTTCCGTACAGCCCCTTCTTTTTAGAGGAATTGTCCTTAGTCCTGGGCCTCAGTCAGGGTCCCCCCTCCCCCATTGGTGTGAGAATCAGAGGCGGTGTGGGTCAAACTGCATTAACTGGGGGGATGGTTTTGTTAGCTCTGTCATTGGAGGTGGGCTTCTCCAAGAGGGTCAGTGATTGCCTCGGGCATGCCAGGCAGTCTGTGTCAGATGCTGGACTTGAACCCAAGACCTCTGGACTTTGAGGCCAGTTGTCTCCACTTCACCCAAGGCATGTCCACACACACTCGTGCACGTTGGTTTTGCCTGAGGCCCCGATTCATCTACAGGAGCTTGTGCTGTTTGGTGTGGGTCCACGGATGTGGAAAAGGAAGGAATCTGGCTTGGGCCTTAGCTGAGGCTTTAGTTTACTTAATTATTTTCCCACTCCCAATTCTTTGTAAAAAGTGTTTCCATATGAACAATGGCTTATGGGCAGGAAGCAAAGATTTGGAAATGAAAGTGCCAAGAAAATTTTTAACAAGACTTTGCTCGAGGGCACTGAAAGTTTAGGTGACTTGTCTGTGATCATGTAACCAATGCCTGTGTGGGTCAGGATTTAACCCCAGGGCTCCCTGGTACAGGGCTGGCCGTCCACCACGCAGAGGAGTAAATGGTCATTATTATCATTTAGTCTCAATTTGGCTCCTTCTTACTCAGTGCCTTTTATGTTTTGAAAAGTCATACGATTGTGCTTCGTGGTACAGAATGCTCCAACCTCCTCTGCCTCCCTCCACATTTTGAGCAGTTATTTTTTAGATCTGGGCCTACATTTATATGACCAAAAAAAAAAAAGACAAGCCTGTCAGTGATCAGTATTGAGGAATACATTGATAAGGGAGTCCGTGCTTGCCGGGGAGTGGGAAGCAGGCCCCCAGCACTGTGGGGGAATCCTGGTGTCAGACTGATGGGGCGACGTGGAGGACATTCACTCAGAACGGAGGGCTGGCCTCCGCATTGTTGGAGAGAGGACCTGCATTCAGAGGTTGTAGATCCATTGGGTTGTTAGGAATTAGGTGGGGGTGAGAGGTGCTTCCTGAAAGGTGTGCCTGTCCCCTGCGAGAATTTAGGGGATGGGAGGGGCAGGGATCAGAGGGCGGAGGTGAGGATATGTTAGAGTTCCCCCAGAGGAGGGGGCTGTCCTAAGGACTGGATCGCAGACCCTGGATGGTGGTTTCTGGGTTGACTCCTTGGCTGGGTTGGGAAGGAGGTGAGGAAGCCAGTCACATGGTGTGACAGTGGAAAGACTTGGCCTGGAAGTCTGGGATCCCGAGTTGTGCTGTCTCTGCTGGGTGACCTTGCCAGGATGTGTTGAGTTTGGGGCATTGACCATCGCTAGGCTCCCTTCCAGTTCTCTCTGCTGTCAGAAATGTCCAAGAGCCTGGTAAGAGCCATTGCCCTCAGACACGTGGGCATTGATAAAGTTCTCTAGGTAATGACCACCTTCAGGGCTCACAGACCCAGGGGTCAGGTTGTGTAGGAGTGAAGGGCCCTCCTAAAGTGGTGCTGGGGTGAACCAGGAGAGGCCGGCAGGGCCTTCTTCAGCACAATAGGCTGGAGTCTGGTGACCATCACTCAGGATGGGTAGGGTCAAGGGCTGTGGGATCCTGTGAAAGGAATGGGCAGCCAGGGTCTGACCAGCCAGCCTAGCAGTCTCTCCTGCCTCTTCTTTCCAGCGGCTGGGCTCTACTACTTGGCTGAGCTGATAGAAGAGTACACGGTGGCCACCAGTCGCATCATCAAATACATGATCTGGGTAAGGGGCCTGGTCTTCCCCCTCCCCACTGCTGCCCGCTCCCCTGCGTCATCGCCAGGAAGAAATCATCTTCCTGGGCCTCCTACCCGAAGGCTGACCTGATGTGGCTCGGTGACCTGCCGGGCTGATAAAGTAGCCTGTGCTCACAAGGGTAGGGAAAGGGGGACTCGGGGACCTCCTGCTGCCGTGTGGTCCATCTGTCCGTGAATGCAAGGAAGCTCACTCTGTGTGCCTCAGCTTCCTGGCACATGAAGGGTGGAAGAGATCCTGCTGAGCCCCCTTCCAGGGAAGAGTTTTAGACCCGGTTTGTCTGGGGGGGGGGGGGTAAATGGGACGTCCCGGTCTCCCTCCAGGCCTGTCTTATCAGTGCACAAAGAGCTGTCAAATTCTCGAGCTGGCCTGCAGTCAGCCTTGTAGGGTGGAGAGACGGCCTGTTAGGCCCGGAGCCAGGAATCCCGCCCGGGATGCTCTGAGCTGTGGCCCTGGCCTCGGCCTCCTCATCTGTAAGATGAAGGGTTGGACTCAGTGGTCACTGAGGACCCTTCCTGCTCGAGAGTTGTGGTCCTGAGATCTTCAGAGGTTTAGTTCAGCTCCTTCCCCCACCCCAGGCCCCTCCTGAGCCTTAGCAGGATGGGGGCGGTGGTGCTCGGCTGCAGGCCTAGACTGGGAAGTGTGTGGATGCAAGCACACCGAGCCCCGGAAGGGGCAGTGGAGGCCGGCGGAGCTGCCAGCCCCGAGGAGGACCCAGCGTGGGGAGGGCGGAGGGGGGTCTGGGGGAGAGGCGAATCCTGAGCCTCCTCGCTCGTCTCAGTTTTCCACAGCCGTGCTGGTTGGCCTCTACGTCTTCGAGCGTTTCCCCGGCTTCCTGATTGGCATGGGCCTCTTCACCAACCTCGTCTACTTCGGCCTCCTTCAGACTTTCCCTTTCATCATGCTGACCTCGCCCAACTTCATCCTTTCTTGTGGTGAGTACCAGGCGGGCCGTGGGCTGATAGGAAAGGCTCGGGGCTGCCCCCCTCCTGATCTGTGTTGCCCTTCTGTTGGCAGCATCCTGGCAGGGCAGTCAAGCAAGAGTCTGACAATGCTTAGGCTAATCGGGCCAAGCCCAGCCCTGCTGGAGGCTCAGGCTGAGGGGGAGATGGGGCACTCACAACGGGAATAGAGAAGCGGGAAAAGAGATGGTGTAAACACACGTTGGAGTGGTCCACGGGAGGGCCTCCCGAGAGAGGTCAGGAGGAGCCTGGCCCAGCCAGCAGGAGGCTTCCAGGCAGGCCCAAGGCCCAGGGCAGCCTGAGGGGAGGCGGGAGGCAGGAGGCCCTTCCCTCCCTGGAGGGGGTGTGTGTGTGTGTGTGTGTGCGCGTGCGCGCGCACGCACTGGTGCTGCTCCCCTTCCTGCTGTCAGGGTCTCCATCTGGTGGTGCCTCATCCTTGCACAGCTGAGTCCAGGGGGAGCTCCAGGCTGGGGCTGCAGGTCAAGGGTGGGGAGCATTAAGAGCAGTCACCCTTTCCTATTTTGAACTCTTTTAAAAATTATTTATTTATTGTTCCATTATGAGTCCGAGTCTTCCCCGCCCCCACGGTGAGCTAGAGAAGGCCAGCCTGTGGCCTGTGGTGGGGACCCGCGTGGGGAGCCCCCCAATCCAGACTCCACAGACGGGTCCTTTCCCTGGAGGTGGACAGCCTCTGCCGGCGTGGGTCATTGGTAGTTGGTTTGAAGGATCGTTTTATTCACAACAGCTCAGTCATTCGTGTTATTCTTTGAACAATATTGCTGCTGCTGCGTCCAACATTCTCTTGGTTCTGTTCGTTATTTCATGTGAGTCTTTCCATGTTTTTCCAAACAGGCCTGCCGGTCATTTACAGCACAGTAGTGTTGCACCTATTTTAATCCTTAAGAACAGGTACCTTAAAGCTTCATTGGCACATGGAGAGGCTTTGGGGGCTCTGAGGGGTCCTGGGAAGACCAGTGGAGCTGGGGCCTCTGGTCACTGGGACTGACCCTGGCCCTGTTGTTGTCTAGCTTTGTGACTTTGACCAAATCACTGCCCCTCAGGGTCTCAGTTTCTGTATCTCTAAAAATGGGTAGAAGAATACAGCCTGAAAGGGCTCTTGTAAGTGGCTGGGGAGGATAATAGATGTGCAAATGTAAAGCCCTGTGCACATGAGGGTGGTGTTCTCATGATTGTAGCTGCCTCCCAAGAACCCCCAGAAGGCAGTGGGGAGCCACACAGGGTAAGCAGCCTATGGCAATAGATAATAAGGGAACTGAATGTTAGAAAAGGAAAGTGGGCTGGAAAAGTGGCAAGAATGGGGGAGCCAGAGTGTTCCCTTGCTTCTCTCTTTGTAAGAAAGAGGGAGAAAGCGAGGAAGGGCCCCATTGCATCAGGGGCCAGACTTTTAGGAGGTCATGGACAACAGGTGCCCAGGATGGGTAGTTATGAGTGGCCTGAGAGCTGCATCCCTGCAGGTACTCCCTAATTGATGAGATCCCAGTTCTATTGGAGTATTGAGTCGTGAGTGTGAATTATTATTGATGGCCCTGGCCTCTGACCAGCATTGAATGGGATTTCTATCTCTAGGAAGTTCCTTTCTCTTCTTCCTGTAGAAGGGCCACCGTGGCCAGCCCTTTGTGCCCTAGATGGAGGAAAGAGCTGGTCATCGGTCCTTGGACGTGTTGGGGCCCACTGTCCCTGGGGAGCTCACTGGGAGTCTCTTCTAGAGCCAAACTCCTGAAATGGGTGTGTCTTGGGTACAAGGACTCTAGGGCCCAAAGGGGAATTCAGCTGCTCTCTTCTCCCCTTGGAAAGGGTCCATGACTTCCCTCAGAACTGCAGAACCTTCCTTGGTGTACAGAGAGGGGCTTCCCTCTTTGAATCTCTTAGGAATGGGCTGTAATTTTCTATATCAGTCAGGAAACTTGACCTTTGACTCATAGGTAGGGCTGAAGACTCTTCTTTGCTAAGAGACAGTTGGGAGAGAGCTTGGAGAAGGGCCCTGCAGGCTCCCCTTCCCAGCTTGGCTTCTCCATTCCTGTCCCTAAGGGCAACTTTAGGCAAGAATGAGGCTCAATGTTGGGGGAATCTATCAGGTGAGCACAGGGATAATCTGTTGCTGTTCCTGCTTTGGCTGGACGAGGGGGATTTGGGCCCCCAGGACACCAGAAAGTTTGAGTCGACCAGGGCTGCTTGCTCTAGGGATGACGTGGGGAGGGCCATCCAAGGAGACCTGATGGGGATGAGGGTCTGGCTTCATCTTTCTGTCCTTTTCAACACCTGTTACGGTGGGAGTGCATCCCTTTTTTGGAGAAAGTGGTCCACCACATTGGAAATTCAAATTTGAATTTCAAATTGAAATTTTGTTGGGAGCTGAGAGATTGTGGGCCTGCAACATGTATTGGTTTTTCTAGTCTGTAAACTCACTCTCTTAGGCCCCTGAGAGTCTGTCTTCCTTATTCCTCCAAGATGAGAAGAATATCTACTAAAAAAAAAAAAATTTGACAAGAAGCAAGATTAGCAATATTTTGGATTTATATGAAACATCTGTGTAGTTGCTATACCATTCATTATTTAATTTTTACCCCCGTAATAGAAATAGAACATGCTTAATTTTTCCTGTTTTAGAACTGGGAGACAGACCCAGAAGGTGTGAGTATCTCGTTCAAGGGTTACAGTATACTGTTATGGGAAGATGGTTGAACTTGAAATCAGTCAACTTGTGTTTTTACTCCTGGCTATGCCTTTTACCAGCTGTGTGACCGTGAGCGAGAACTGTAATCCCTGGGAACCTCTCGTGAGTTGTCATTGACACCTTTCAGTCCACGGACCCTGGAGGGGAAGGCAGAATACCCCTGATGACTTGTCCACACTTTCTCTTCTCTCCCAAAGCCCCCTGAACCTTATCCTTCCTTCCATTTGCATTTACTGAGGAAATGGAAGCCGTGTGATGTGAGCCCCATCTTCTCCCATTCTCGGTCTCTTCCAGCCCCCAAGATGCTGTCTGTTCAGTTTGGGATGGCCAGCCCCGCTCCTCGTCCTCCAGTCTTCCCCGGCCCCTCTCTCCTGGATCTTCGGCCCCTCCCGTCCCTGCTCACTTCAGCTTCTGCTGCTGCTCCCTCCCTCTCTTCCTGATGCCCTGAGCCCCATCACTGCCTCCAAAGCTCCCAAGCAGCTCTTCATTGCTGGGCCTCAGGGGCCATTCTTGAACTTTGCAGCATTTGACTCTGGTGACCACTTCTCCTAGAGGTTCCCTTGTCTGGTTTTTTGTGACTCTCCTCTCTCCTGGTACCTGTCAAATCACTTCCCCATCTCCTTTTCTACTTTATCCGACATCCTGTGCTGGTCTTCCCCTCTGCACCCGCTCTGGGACTTCACCAGCTCTCGGTTCAGTTCCTCAGTGTGTGTTGTGTGCATGTGTGTGTGTGCACGTGTGCACCTGCGTGCTCCCCTCTCACGTCACTGTCACATCACCAACTCCCTGTTTGACAAACTAGATGTCCTGTGGGCATCTCAAATCCGACATGTCCAAAACAGAACTCCTATCCCCCCCCCAAAACCAGCAATGCCTCCCCCCCCCCCGTTCCAAGCTCTCTTGGTTCTGGCAGAGGCGCCACGCATTTTCTCTGCCTGTTCCAGGCTCATGTGCTCGTCTCCTTACGTAGAATGTAAGATCTTTGAGAGCAGGGCTGGTTCTATTCTTCATGTTTATACCCCCAGAGTATGGCACATAGTAGGTGCCTAATAAATGCTTGTTGATTCAGCTGAGTTTCCTTCTCTGTGAACCCAGGGTAACCATACCTGCACTGGCATCATGGTGTCCCGAGCTGGGAGGGCCCAGCTCTCAGATATCTAGCTCAAGCTTCTACTTCATAGATAAAGAACATTAAGCAGAAGTGGTGCTACCTCTTATTGAATACTCCCCGCTGACTTCCCCTCTCTGGGCCTCAGTTTCCCCTTCCCTAGATGGCTTCTGAGGCCCCTCCGCCTTTGGGTCAGTGACCAGCCCAGAGAGCTTGTCAGCTCCCTGCTGTGCCCCTAGTCCACCCAGGCAGGGATGACAGAGCCTGGATTTGTCCCCACCCCTTGGATGGGCACTTCTGTTCTCATTGCTATTGGATGTAATTCAGCAGAGATTGCCATGCTTTCACTGTGAGGAAGAGCTGTGGAGATACGGGCCGTCCACCCAGGCCTGGGGCAGCCACCAGAGGGTGGTGAGGCCCTTCGTGGACCTTTCTTCTAATGACTGACGCTCTCTTTCTCTTTCCCTCTTCTGCAGTGTTGGTGGTGGTCAATCACTACTTAGCGTTCCAGTATTTTGCAGAGGAATATTACCCCTTCTCAGAGGTAAGAAGCACCATAGGACATTTGGGAATGGGGGGAGGTGGGGGACACAAGCATTTATTAGGCACCTATGGTGTTCTAGACACTTTGCTAAGTGCTTTACAGCTTTATTTGATCCCCACGACAACCCTGCAGTTTAAGAGCTATTATCCCCAATTTACAGATGAGAATGAGGCAGATAGAGGTTAAGAGTGACCTGCCCAGCATCACAGAGGTTGTAAGAGTCTCAGGCAGGATTTGAGCTCAGGTCTTTCTGACTGCAGGCCCTGTACCACCTAGGTACCTAAGTGAAAAGGACATGGTGGTTGGCATTTCCTGAATCTTATGTGTTGTCTTAGGTCTTCTCCTGGGGGGCCCTGGCCCCTTCGGCATGTGGTGGTGAGCAGGGCTCTCTGGACCACTCTTCTTCTACTTTCCCTGGGCCTGGCTGGCCAGGTCACTGAGGATTGGTCTGGGGAGGTCTTTTACCCTTCCTGAGTGTTCTCTCAGCCTGGGTGGGTCTGAAAGCCCTCCCCTAAATGCCCCTTCTCCTACTGCACACTGGGAATCTTTTCTGGTCACTTCTCCAAATCCTTCCTTTCTCTACTTCTGTCTCCAGCCTGTGTTTGTTCTTTGGGAGAAAAAATCACCCATGGTTCCTTTTGTTTTTTTAATTAAAAAAAATTATTTTCAGTTCCAAATTCTCTGTCTTCCGCACCCCTTGAGAAGGCAAGAAATCTGATCCATGGTTACTTCTTGGTGGCAGAGGATGGCTTCTAGAGTGGGGTCTCTGGGGGGGGGCAGGGCCAGCATGGAACAGTCCTGGAATGTTTTCCCCAGACGCCTCCTTCCTTCATGCCTGGATAGGACCTAGCAATCTCATGCCCTTACAGGACTTAGCTTTTGATTGACTTTATTTGTCCTGGTTTCTTACAGCTGGAATGTTCTTGTCATACAGCGATGTCAGATGCTAGTTTGGGCTGACTTTAACAGTACTCAGTGATGGTGCAGATAACAGTGTGGGGTTCGGCCTTCTGTTGTTGAGGTTTTAAGTAAGGTGACTTCTCCCTAGGAGCCATGCAGCAGCCTCCTAGAATTGGTCCTTTTTACATTGTGAGTAAAGAGTTTTTACAAAAACCCAAACTTACTGTTTGTGAACTGAGTCACCTCTGTTGCCCTGCCATCGATCATTCGTTATTCATTGGAAACCTATTGATGGAAGGGGTTTTGATGCAACAGACCCTCCGAGCAGACCACATTATAAAGTGCCTTCTGTGAAATGTGGTTTTTCAGGGGCTAGTAGAAAAAGGCCGTGTCCTTTAACTTTGACCCTGTGCTCCTAACATTGACCATTGTTTTCTACTTGAGTTTTGTTGAAGCTTCAGTATTTTACTCTATTTTTTAAGGAGGATAAAGAGAAAGGAGAGATTTAATGGGAACTAGAATATATTGGGGTTTGGGGGGAAATCCTGAATTTCATATAAGTATAAAAATCCGTTATAAATGACTTAAAGAAATATATTTTTAAAAACTGTACTGAAACCTTATTTTTTTGCAGCACCTCCATTTTCTAGTGTGCCCCACCTCTCCCCCTTCCATGGTGTCATCCCTTATAACAAAGAATGTTTTAAAAAGGAAATAAACCAGGTCATAAACCAACATAATATGCAGTTTCCACGTTCTTAGTTCTCCACCAATGCAAAGAGGGGTAGAGAAGTGCATTTTCAAATCTCTTCTTTGGGGCCAGGCTTGGTCATTGGAAACAGCCAGCTGGCACAGTGGGTACAGACCCACTTCCTAGCTGTGTGGGCCTGGCTGAGCCACCTGACTTTTCTCAGCCTCTGTTTCCTCATCTGTAAAATGGCCATAATAATAGCGCCCACCTCCTGGGGTTGTTGGTAACACTGGAGATCATCTGTGCACGCCACTGCCTGATGTGATGACGATGATGATGATGATGTCTGACACTGAGCCAGGCACTGGGCTCTTGGCTAGACTTTATGCCACTTGTTGCCTTGTTCTTTTCACTGCCGTGATTGTCACCTTTGTCTGGTGATTCTCCTGATTTGACTTTGCATCTGCTCCTGTAAGCGCTTACATGTATCTCTACATGTTTGTGGCTTCTTACAGCAAAGGACTATTTCATTGCATTCACATTCTGTGGGCAATGGGCATCTTCTTTGTTTCTAGGTCTTTGCTAGCCCAGAAGGCGCTGCTACCACCGTTTGGGCATAGGTGGCGCCTTTCTGCTTTTTGGTGACCTCCTTGGGGCATACGCAGCATCGGACGTTCATTTTAGTCCCTTTCCTAACAGTTCCCAGCTGCTCTCCAGAATGGTTGGACCAGAGAACATAATTATTAATATTGATTGCAACACTCAGCCGTTCCTGTAAACAGGACATGAGTAGGAGAGCTCTCCGAGACCCACTTGTTCCAAGGCTATTATGGCTTCTGGGCTCCACAGTACCAGGAAGGAGGGAGGGACAGACCAGCAGACACAGAGAGGGGAGGAGAAGGAATGACAAACAGCAGAAGATCCCTGCCTTCTGCTCTAGTCAGCCTGGGAGAGAGGCAGGTCAGAAGGCATGGGCATCTTTGTCTGCTCCGCTCTTTGAAGCGAGGCAGGAAATGGGTTAGTAGCTTCCTCCAGGCCTCCCTGTTTTAGCCTGGTTTTCCACTCTTCCCTGCCTCCCTTTGGCTATCCAGATTGTCCTGTGGATTTTCTCCAGCTTCCTGGAGTCTCCCTGGTCTCAGTGCTCCTACCACTTGGGAACCCAGGGGCTTGAGGCTGAACATCCTCTGTCTTCACAGGTCCTGGCCTATTTCACATTCTGCCTCTGGTTAATCCCGTTTGCGTTCTTTGTGTCACTGTCTGCTGGGGAGAATGTCCTGCCCTCCACTATACAGCCTGGAGGTGAGCGGGGCTGAGAGGGGGAAAGGGGAGTACGGGTATGGCGCTTGCTGCCTTGCTGGCTTGGGTGGGAGTGAGTAGACAGCTTCTGTCTGGAGGAGACAGAATTCCCACCCTTGGGGAGCCCCTTGTCGGATGAGGGGGTGGGGAATGTTTCTACCCTTGGGAGCCCCAGGTCTGATGGAAGAGGCATGGCTTCTGTCCTCTGGGATCGTCTGGTCTAGCCCCTAGTCTGCTGGCAAGGCCGGCCTTGTACGCTTATTGTAATCTTTACTCTGGTCTCATGGGGAAAGAGACCCCAGGCCAAGAATTAAACACAAGCGTAGGACCCAGGCCTAGGATTATTCTCCTAATCCTGGCCCATACCTCCACAGATGACGTGGTCTCCAACTACTTCACCAAAGGCAAACGAGGCAAACGTTCTGGAATCCTGGTTGTCTTCTCCTTCATCAAAGAGGCCATCTTGCCCAGCCGTCAGAAGATTTACTGACCACTTGGGGAGGGGGCCCAGGGGTGAGGAGGAGGGAGCTGGGGCAGCGAGCCTGGAATTGGATCTTCCGTCGTCATCGTCGTCGTGGACGTCTGTGGGGGACCGTCCTCCCACTCTGGCCCTCTCCCCCGTATCCCAGACACCCCCGAGGGGTCTTGGTCAGGACCGGACAAAGCCGAAGGCCATGTGATGTGACCTGGACATTGCTTCCAGAGGAGTGCAGAGCTTGCTGTCTAGGGAGGGCTGCCCATCTTTGGACTTTGGGCAGCCTTCAGGCCAGGAGGCTGAAAACTGCCCCTTGTCCCTTCCTCCTGAGACCTGTAATGGGGATAGTGGGCCAAGTTCCCTTGCTAGTCCGTCAGTCCCAAAGTACTGGGCTCTGCTGTGGGGAAGGCAGAGAGAGATGGGCTCCTCTCTGTAGAGGACCCTGAGGTGGAGCCATGACTTGGTGCATTTCCAAAGGAAATAGCTTTTTGGTGTTGAATCGAGCTGTGATTTCTGTCAAAGTACAAGTACCCATTTGAATAAAGATTCTAGGTGGCATTTTTTCCTTAATGCCCTGAAAAATCCTCTTCCTTTCTTTGTTCTCGGCCCGCTTCCAGCTTGTTCTCTGGCCTCCTTTCTCCCCGGGCAGCTCTGCTCATTCCCCCCCACCAGATGCAGGAGCCCCAGCCCTCCAGATGTATCGTCTGTTCAGCAGGAGGAGCAGAACTGGAGGAGTCCTAGCCTGCTTCTGGGCCTCTTTGGAGAGTTTGGGGGTGGTGGGGGAGATGGAGATTTGGACTGAAATCTTGGTTAAAAACATTCTGCAGGGGCAGCCAGGCCCTGGAGTCAGGAGGACCTGAGTTCAAGTGTGATCTCCGACCAGACACTTGACACTTGCTGTGTGACCCTGGGCAAGTCACTTAACCCCAACTGCCTGACCAAAGCAAAACATTCTGCAACCCTCTCTTTTGTCTTCCTCGGGAGAGTGGGTTCTGGTTCATTGTCTCCCTCATCACAAAGTGTGAGGAGAATGCAAAGGGGGGCTTGGAGAGATGTACCAGAAGCAAACAACAGAAACTTGTCCCTGGGGAAGGGGCAGCATTTTGAGCTGAGACAACGCCTACTTCTCGGGGGAAAAGATGAATCTTGAACGGACCCAGCACCTGCAATTTCTGGGTGGATCTTCTTGTCGGGTGAGGGAGAAGCCTTGGGGCTGGTTGACTTTGCCCAGGGCCAGGCCACAATCGATCTGAACCAGGTAGGATGAGGTGGGGCAGGAGGCCCGAGGTCATTGGCTGACAACTGGTTGAATTGATGCCGCACCTGAGGACAGTTAAGGGGCAGGTTAGGGGAGCCCTTGGGGTGCTTTTGCCCATCCTGTCCTGAAATTCCCTAAGAACAATATTAAGTACTAATCTTTGGGCCTTTTCTAAAATGTCAGTCCCCAGGGAGGCACATGCCATATTAAGTTCCTAGTATATCAGTGTGAATGAGTTTCCCAGCTTCATTTTTTGTGCCAGCAGGGACCTCAGAGGCCGTATGGGAAGGGGAGGCTGCAACAGGTGTGCCTAGGGCCGGTCCTGACTATAGATGAGTCCCCTATGCCCTCAAAGGCCATCTGGCCCAGGCAGTACCTGAGCAGGAATTCCAGCAGGCCTAAGAGTGGAGGGCTTATCCCCGTGCCCTGGAGTTCCCACACCACTGGGGGAGAGGCATGCTAGGCTGGATCATCAGTCAAAGACTGTACAGGACAGACATCGTGTTCCTCAGGTCAGAGGTGACAGCTTGGGCTGGCGTTGAATCTTAGGTTGTCAGTGGAGACCCTAGAGGCTGTCCTCCTCAGACTCCTTGTAGAGAGGAGGAGATGGTGCCCAGGTGACACACACACACACAGACACGCACACACACACACACAGACACACACACACACACCCAGTACTACCCTCAGCAACTTGACTTGGCAGACTACGGATCCCCAGAGATACAAAAGAAGGCTGTCATGGGAGCCAGGGAAGAGGGCTTTTCATTCTTGGAGAGAAATCCTTTGGCTCCAAGAATAAAATGCTTTCTGATTCTCGAGGGGTGGAGGCAGGACATTGAACCCAGACTCTGGGGATCAGCTGACTCGGTACCTGCTGCAGGTAAGCAGCTGCTGTTCCAGCGGTTGTTTCTTGCTGCTGTGATTGGGAAAGATGCTGCTGGACAAGGCCATTCTGCTAAGGGGATTCTACCGTGCCATCGGGGCGCTTTAAGGAACCCTAGATGGTGCTGGTTAGCTCATCTCCATCCAAAACCGAGAGGAGAGAGATTTAAACCTGGAAGCAGGAGGAATTGAGCGGGACTTGATGGTGCTAGGTTCTGGCGGGGGGCCTCAAAGAGCTGGACTGGGGCGTGGGATGTCCTGATGGGCTTTGATTCTCTGGCAAGCCCTCTGCTGCGCCGCCTCAGGCACCTCAGTTTGCCCTGCAGAGCGATTTCTCCAACCCCTTGTAGACAAGTTTCTCTCCTCAGAATAGTCCCCAACCCATTCCCCTGGGTGTGTGTGTGGAGGTTGGGGGAGTGGAAAGTGGGGGTAGTGAGAATCCAGGGTCTTTACAACCTATCCTGTTAGGCAAAGGCAAGTGCCCCAAATCCGGTCTCCTGTTCCTGGGTGGTCTGGACCGAAGTCTGAGGTTAGGGAGGGGATGCTATTTTCCCCTTCTCCATCACTCCAACACCTTCCATACCCCTAGACTGTGAATAGAAGCTCAGTCACGTAGGAGAAGCAAAAGTCAATCAACTTACTTTATAAGGGGGGGTTATTAAAGGAATAGAAGAGGAAGGCCCAACACTGTCTGAGAGCAACTGAAGAGGTGAGGGAGGAGGAGGGCGAGGAGGTGGGGGAGAGGGGAGGAAGCCCCTGGTGCTTTCGCACCAAGGAGATGAAGGCTGGGTCGAAGGTGTCCCGGAGGCTCATGGCCATGGAATCTGTCCAGAAGCGCTGATCCCCGGGGTAGCGCCTCCGGGGCAGATCCTGGACTGTGATGCGCCTCAGCCCCTCCGGCACCCTAAGGCGCTGGGCACGCCGGCTCGGGCACAGCTCTCGGAGCAGGACCTTGAAGGGCAGGCGGGGCACTGGGAAGATCCACTGGCCGTCGGCAGTTTGGATATGCGCCCCGCCCTCGCCGTTGGGGTAGAACTTAAGGAAGTTGCACAAGTCGGGCTCCGGGGTCGTGTCCGGGTGCACACCCAGGCGCACGACCTGCGGGAAGGCGATCTGGGTGACCGGTCGTGCCTCGGCCTTGGTGCTCGAGTTCCATGTGGCAGTCCAGCGGAAGGACGAGGACGGCCGGGCCGGGGGAGGGGTTAGGGGGGTGTCCGCCGAGTGGACGTGCAGGAGAGCCAGCGGCCGCATCGGCGGGCTGGGGGCCGGGGACGTAGAAGCCCTGCGCTTCTGACCGTTCCGTAGCTGAGACTCGGAGAGTGTCCGCTGTGGTGTGGGCGTGTGTAGAAGCGTATAAGAGTGGCGGTGGTGAGACCTCGGGGAGTATTGGAGGCTTAGCGGGAGGCTGGGGGACCGGCGGAAGATCGTGGCGCTGGACACTCCGTCAGCCCACTTGAGCAGGGTGGAGCCCCGTGAGCGGGCAGTCAGAGGGGGCGAGGGGCCATGAGAGGAATGGGAGCTGGAACGAGGGGACCGGGGGCTGGAGGCGGGCCCGGAGCTGGGCCGGGACTGGTGATTCGGAATGCGAGGGCTTAAAGAGGGAAGGACGGTTAAGGGGCCGCCGGTGTTCGAGGGCTGGGTTCTCTTCAAGGGGCGTAATCTTTGGCGGGCCGGGAGAATCAAAACGGGGGGCCGCTTGCACGGCGGGTGAGGCCTCCGCGGGGGCTGCGGCTTTGTGACCTGGGGGTACTTCTTCATGTGGGCGGCCTCCTTCGTAACCCGAGGAGGCTCCTTCGAAACCGGGACAGATTTCTTAGTAACCGAGGCTGATTGTTCCGTAACCTGGGCGGATTTCTTCGTAACCGGGGCGGATTCCTTGGTAACCCCGGCGGGCTCCAGGATCTTAATCTTGGCCAATCTGGGCAGAGGCTTAGTTTGGAGCCATTGGGTGAAGGCGACTTGGTTCTGGGCCTCCTTCTCTTTCTGGAACGACAGGAGGGAATGCATGATCGTTCGGGCCAGAGGTTACCCTCCACCCCCCCCCCCCGCCCCCAACCCCAGCTTCCCCACATCTGAGAGTCACTTTCAGCAGCCCCTTATTTCAGCAGCACAGAATTCGAGCTCCCTCCCCTCAGCCAGGCACTCGCAATTAGCAAAGGCTTCGTAGACATCTCGTCCAAGCCATATGTCCCTTCAAAGAAACTCCCTCTACAACCTACGGGCAAGTCCATTCTCTTCCTGAAGACCTCCAAGGAGGGGGACCCCATCACTCTATAGCAGCCCATTCCACCTCAGTATACATAGTGCTAATTGTTAAAACATTTGTCCTGCCGCCAAACCTAAATTTGTTTCTATCTTCCTCCAATGTTCCAGGTTCTGCCCTGTGGGGCCAAGCAAGTCTAACCCTTCCGCCATGACACTCCTTTAGACCCTTGAAGGTGGCCATTGCGTTCCACCCCTCCCCCCAGTCTTTTCTTCTCCTTGCTAGACACCTCCATTTCCTCCAACTGGTCCTTATATGACATGGCTTCCAAGCTCTTCACCATTCTACTTGCCCTCCTATAAATTCTATCCAGTTAATCATCCTTAAACTGTGACAACCCAAATGACCATAATATTCCAGATGAGGTCTGAGCAGAAAACAGTGGGACTATCATCCCTCTCTTTCTGGAAGCTCTGCCCCTTAATGTAGCCTGCAATCCCATTAGCTTTGGGGGGCACTCTCACATGAAGCACATATGAAGCAGAAGCTCGGGAATCCACTGAAACCCCCAGATCTTTTTCAGACAAACTGCTTTCCAACCATGGTTTCCTCACTTTGTACTTGAAGCTGATTTTTTTTTTTTACTCAAGGATAAGACTTTATGTTTATCTCTATTGAGTTTCACCTTATTACTTTCAGCCCAATGTTCTAGCCTTTGAAGACCTTCTGGATCTGGGTTCTGTCATCAATTATCCCTCCCAGCTTTGCATCTCTGCACATTTGCTGAGCATCCCGTATATGCCTTTAGCCAAGACATTGATGATAATGGTAAACCAACCACAGATCCCTGGGGTACTGCATTGTAGACCTCTAACTTCATTGATGTCAAACCTTTGATGACTACTCTTGAGTATTAACTATCCAGCCAATTCTGAGGCCATCTGATTGTATGACAGTCTAGCCCCCAACTCTCCATCTTTTTCACAGGAATAATAAGAGATACTTGATCAGAAGCTTGTCTAAAACCAAGGTAAACGCTATCTACAACATTCCCCTGATCAACCATTTAAGGAAACCTGTCAAAAAAGGAAATGAGGTTAGTATGATATGATCTGTTCTTGATGAAGCTCTGCTGGCTCTTGGTATCCCTGCTTCCCTTTCTAGATCTTTAATGATCTGTTCTAGAATTTTCCCCGGAATCAAAATTAAGCTCACTGGCCTAGAGCTTGCAGACACTCTTCTCTTCCCTTTTTTGAAAATAGAGACATTTGACCTTCTCCAACTTTGTGGCACCCCTCCCGTTTTCCATGCTCTTTCAAATATTACTGACGGGAGTGGGGGTGGGGTGGGGGTGGGGCTCAGCCATCACATCTGTCAATTCTTTCAGTACCCAAGGCCGTGGTTCATCTGGGTCAGGTGACTTGAATTCATGAAAGGAAACTAGGAGCTCTCCTATTCTTTCCCTATTTATCTCAGGCATCAACTCCCTGTTAACCATTGTCCTTTCCAGTCCAGAGGTCTTTCTCCTTCACAGAGAAAACAAACAAAAAGAAAAAAAAATTGAAGAGCTCTGCCTTCTTTCTCTTGTCAGTTTTTTTTTTTTTTTTTGTTTATTTTTTGGCTGGGCAATAGGGTTAAGTGACTTGCCCAGAGTCACACAGTTGGTAAGTGTCAAGTGTCTGAGACCGGATTTGAACTCTCTTGTCAGTTATTGACCCATACACACCCCAAGCAAAGGTCTCATCCATCCCAAGCAAAGGTCTTATCCCTTTTTTGGTATTTCTGCCAAGAAAATATCAAACCTGGCCTCAGACACTTCCTGCTATGTGACCTTGGGTAAGTCACTTAACCCTGTTTGCCTCAGTTGCCCAGTTCCTTTTATACATAAAAGGAGCTGGAGAAGGAAATGGCAAACCACTCCAATATCTCTGCCAAGAAAATCCCAAATGGGGTGAGTTGAATATGACTGAACAACAACAGGCAAATCTCACTTCTACTCCTAGACCCATCTAATTCATTTTCAACCCATATTTCTTACAGGTACATCAAGAACTTCACAATTATTGCCTATTATGTAAATAGAATCATAGTTTTAGAGCTGTAAGGGACCTTAAAGGCCAACTAATTCACACTTCACCTCTTCCCCCTTTAACAGGTGAGGAAACTGAGGCCTAGGAGGGTAAGTGATGTATCCAAGGCCATTTAGGTAAGCATCAAAGGCAGGCTCCTTAGAGCTGTTCCTTCAGGACAGGGACTATTTCATGTTTGCCTCTGTCCTCAGAACCTAGGACAGTGCCTGGTGTAGAGTCAATCAATAGTTGTTAAATGAGGGATGTATAACATGGAGAAGAGGTGCTCATTCTTTTCACGGATTCCCTTTGGCCATATATCATGACTGTGGTCATCCAGCTTCTTGAAGACTTCCAGAATGGGGAGCTACCTAGCTTGTCCTCATATCATCAAGGTTAACTGGACTGGTGCTAGGGAACGGGTCCTTTCCTCACAACTATTATTCTGAAATTTTTGGTAGCTTCCGTGGAAATAAAGTGTAAAAGTAGTGTCAGAGACAAGAGAAGAAAGGAATGGGAACTGGTACTGGCCCCAAGAATGGGTAGAAGTTAGGCCTGTAGGTAGGTTTGCAGTAGTTTTCCCAAGGTACCAAGCCAACCAACGAACCCAAAATGTCAAGGGCTGAAGTTGGGTTTGCATGACCAAGGAAGGATAGAAACTCAGAGCCCCAGGTCTGAAGGCAAAGGAATTCAGCGAGCTGGGTCCTCTGAGACCTCCCTCCTCCAGCCCTTCCACAGGTCCCCTTCCCAAAGAAGCTCGCCAGCTGAGTATTTGACGGTCCTTTCCTGCCATCTTCCTGCCTCTTGCTACCTTCTTTTCAAGGAGGTATTTATTCTGCATGACCAGCAATCGCTTTTTAAGCTGGCTCAGTTGGCCCATCTCTTCAGCCAAGTCTTTCTTGTCCTGTTTCCACATAGCATCCTTCAAGAACCTGGGTTTAGGGTGGGCAGAGGTGAGGAAGCAGGGGGTCAGTGCTGTTTGTACCTTCTTTGAGGCTCAGCCTTCAGATCAATTCCCTTCTGACCTCCAAGATTCTGAACCATTTGTAACCACTGCCAACAACAGCTATAACCCCCTACCCCTAGTCATTCATATTTTATTTTACCTTTTTATTTAATTTCCTCCAGGTCATTTTACAGTGGGCTCTTAATATGGTTGTTAAGTGAGGGTCAGCAGTTGTATGGATAAGTTTCTCTACATACTTTGCTCAAGAGAAGGACAGAAGGACACTGAAGGGTGGGAGTGCAGAGAGCTGAATGAGGTAGGGAATGGGGTGGGTAGCACAGTCCTGCTCAGAGGCACAGGACGGGAGGAGGTGACCTCCAAAAGCCTCTCCCAGGGGGCAGCTAGGTGGCACAGTGAATAGAGCTCTGGCCTTGGAGTCAGGAGGACCTGAGTTCAAATGCAGCCTCAGACACTTAACACTTACTAGCTGTGTGACCCTGGGCAAGTCACTTAACCCTGATTGCCTCACCAAAAAAAAAGCAAAAAAAAAAAAATTCAATTAAAAGCCTCTCCCAGAGAAAGACTGTATGGGAAGGCCAAGACTATGAAGAGGACATCCACCCTCAGAAGAAAGGGTGAAGTTGACTGTGTTTGTCTCCAATGGGCCTCTCCTCTCCTTCCTGGACCCCTTTCAACTCTCAACCAGTGCCCTTCAGCTTCAGAATGCAGTTATAGGGACCATAGCTGAAAGGGACCTGCTAGGCCATGGAGTTAGGATTAGGTTCGTTCCTTTGCATTGCTGTTCAGTTGTTTCAGTCATGTTTGACTCTTGGTGACGAAGGACCACTGGTGACCACAAGGATCTATTGCATTGTTAGGATTATTAGGAATTGGGTGGGGTGAGAGGTGCTTCCTCCTTGAGCCATCCTGGCTCCCTTCTCCCTCTAGTCCTGTTTATTTCTCTGTGCTTCTTAGGGATTTACCATGTTTTTGTGGATCTCATCCTCCCCTTTCCTGCTGCCACCCAGACCAAGAGCCTCATTTTATGTGATCTTTGTATCTTCCTAAACCCCAGAACTGGAGCCCATATAGTAGGCATTTAATATATTCATTAAATGAATGAGAGACAGGCGAGACTGGCATGGCAGTGGATAGAACATTGGACTTGGGCTGAGGAAAGCCTGGCTCTAACACTACTCATATAACTCTAGGCAGGTCTTCAGATGTCTCTGAGATTCCATTACCTCCTCTTTAAAATGAGGGGCTTAGCCTCACTGACTTCCAAGGTCCCTTTCTAGCTCCAATTCTAGGATCTTATGAATATTTTCTCCTTCCCAGAGATGTATGGAAGGAGCCAGAAGACCTTGGTTCATATCTGTCTCTGATCACCCATTAACTAGCTATGGCAGGTAACTCCTCTGACCTGTCTGTATAATGGGGCTAATTGGGAAACAGGAACCCTGGCTTTTGGTGTCAGAGGGCAATGCTAAATCTGCCCCAATGAGCTTAGTGGGAGTTTTAGGAACTGAGGTCAGGGAGTTGGCCAATTCCATCTGTCCTTCACATTTCCCACTCTGGAGGCTCTTCTAATCTGAAGTGGGATGGGGGTTGGGAGAGGGGTCATGGGAAGGGGCCCAATGCCTTCCCCGTCCATCCCAGTCTCTGCCCTCTAAACCCTCTCTGCTGCCTTTTGGTGGGGGCTCTTACCGGGCACATTCTCGGTGGTTCCACGCCCTGCATAAGTCAATGCTTTTCCGGTTCTGTCTGTCGAGGGCATGTACATCAGCCCCAGCTTTCACCAGGACCTTTATGCAGTCCAGCATGCCCTCCCAGGCTGCCAGGTGCAGAGGGGTAACGCCATTTTGATTCTGGCTAGAAAAAGCACGCCAGGAGTGGGAGTGATGAAAGGCATCAGGAATTAATAGCAGAAAGAACACAAGACTTGATGTGTGACCCTGGGTAAGTCATCTCACCCCTACTGGCCTCAATTCCCTGATCTGTCAAATGGGCATAATCTAACCATTGCCTTGGCTATTTGAGACTTAAATAGACAGTGGGTACTGTGAAGGTCAAGAAGACATTAGACGTATAAAGTCATCATCACCAGCTCATCATAGGGGTTCCAACTTTATTTTCACCAGCCCCTAACTACAATTTAGCATTTCCTTCAATCATTTAAAGACATGATTCAGAGAAGGGGGTCCACAGGTTTCACCAGATTGCCCAAAGGGCCCAGGACATCCTTCACTAGGCAGACCTGCAACTTTCCATCCCTCTTAGTCATAGAATTGCCAGGATCACATGGCCAGTCTGTGTCCAAGGTGGGATGTAGACCCAGGTGATCCTCACTTGGACTGATCTTCTGTTACTTAGCCATGCCGTCTCTGAGGGTGCTGGAGGGATAGACAGTGGCCGGGCCTTGGTACTCACACATTGACTGGAGCTCCCTTCTCGAGAAGGAACTGAATACACTTAAGGGACACGGCTGGTTTTTCCTTGTTAATGGCCAGGTGAAGGGGAGTCCAGCCCTTGGTCGTGGTCATCGACAGCGGGAACTTGTATCGATCCACCAGCGCTATCACGCAGTCCAGGTGGCCACGTTCAGCTGCCAGGTGGAGGGCTGTGAAGCCCTGGTGGAGGGAAAGGAGAGAGGGGCAAGAAGAAGGGAGGAAGAAAGGCATGGTTGAGCTACATCTCTCCCTTCCTCCCTCTCTCCATCCTGGAGTATAGCCATCCACTCATGTCCGGTTTACCTGCCTAACCCCTTCCCTAGCTCCTTTAGAACCGAGGTCCCCACTCTGTCTCCTCATCCTCCTTCTCCTTGGTTTTCCCACCCCAGTCACTGCCCCAGACTAATCTCCAGGGCCTGCTATTCTCCCTGGGGCCTCCTTTCGCTAGCTTTGACTGTGGGCACGATGTGTTCAGGCCAGCCTCTGGTTCAGTGGACCAGGCGGGGTCTCCCTGAGAGTAGAGGCTGCGTCTATCTGCCCATCGCAGCCTGGGATCCCCGGTGGACCAGGGGCCGAATCTCTTCCCGCGCCTTCCCCGAGTGCCCGTGAGGCGCACCCTGCAGTCAGAGCGGATGCCCTTTCGGTGCTTCAGGCTGTGATGCAGCCACTCCAGGTTGCCCGCGGAGGCTGCCAGCAGTTCCTGGTTTTGCGCAAACGCCCTCTTTAGGAAAGGGATCCCCGCGCCGGCACGGTAGCTGGGGGTGCATGAAAAGGGGGAACGTAGCCGGAGGAGCGCATGAAGTGTGGGAGCCCTTAGCTTGGGGCAAGAGCTTGAAGAAGGGGGCTGGAGTACTGTGGGGATGGGGCAAGTCAGCGGGGAGCAGGGACGGATGGATGTGGGCGAGGCCAGTCGGGAGATGACAAGGTGAGAGAGGGTAGGACTTGTAGGCGAACGAGGCGGGGGATGTGGGCGAGGCCAGCCGGGAGATGGGCGGTGGAGCAGGGAGGAAGGGCGGGGCTAGGAGACCCGGGAAGGTAAGGAAGAAGGTGGGACCGCGGGAGGGCGGGGGCGGAACCTGGAGGAGAAGATGCCCTGCGGGGAAGGGGCAAGGGGCCTGGCTCGGAGGCCTTGGAAGAAGCGGGGTTGGAGCGAGCCGGTGGCGGGGATGAGCCTCAGACCGGGTGGGCGTCTGCTCATCCCACCGACCCCTCTGCCGGCTGGCCCGCAGAATCAAGCTCCAGGGATGTTAGCTCATGGGATCCTCTCCACAATCCGGGAGGGAGACTCTAGTATTAGCCACATTTTACAGGTGGGGAAATAGAGACTGAGACATCCAGTTTCCCTCTTCCTCTTTGGGGTACTGGCCACCTCCCCAACCTCTGAGCACGCCCCGCGCCTAGCCTCACAGACTCCCCATCCCCAACCTCACTGCTCTCTCCCCACTCTTTATCCTTGGCCACGCCTCCCCTCCATTAACTCCGCCCCTCCCCGCCTTGGACACACCCTTTTCTTCTATCGGGTCCTCCCACCACGCCCCTACCTCCTGGCCCCACTATTTCCTTTGTCCTGGCCCCGCCCCCTCCCCTCTTCTTAACCCCGCCTCCCCCATCGTTCTGGCCACGTCGCCTCATTCTCAGTCCTCTCTCTAGTCTAAACCAGTCCAGCCCAACATTCCTTTTATTAAGTGAAGCCTCAAACACCTCTCATCTCGTCCCAGCCCCTCTCCCCTCCTATCCTGGCCCTACTTCTCTCTCTCCCTCTCTGTCTCTTTCTGGCTCTGTCTCTCTCCCCTCTCCCTCTCCCTCTCTCTCCTCCTCCTTCTCCTTCTCTCTCTCTCACTCTCTCTCTCTCTCCCTCTCTCCTTCCCTCCCTCCTGGTCCCACTTCTTGGTCCCTCTCTATCCTGTCCCACCTCCCTCCTCTGACCCCGCGCCTCGCTAGCGCTCCATCTACCTCCTAGCCAAAGCCCTTCTCACTTTTCTGCCTCTGTTTCCGTCTCAGACCTGACCAGAGTTTAGTCTTAGCCTCACCACGCCCCTCTTTCTCTCCCTTCTCCTTAGGCATTCTCGAACTCTCTCTTCTGCAGGCTGCCAGAGTCCGTGTAGCTAGGGGAGGGCTAGACTGACTATTCATATATTGCCACCCACTGCCCAGCTCCCATCTTACCCAGGAGGATTCCCATTCCTATCCCACCTGCATGCACCCTGCTCCCTCCACCCCTACCAGCTAGCCCTGCCCTCTCAGCTACCGGTTGTAAGATTGTCGGTGGCCCCGGGGGTCGTCCTGGTCCATGGTGTGCCTTGTTGGTAAGAAGGGTTCTGCGTCTTTGCTTCCCAAAGGGGAGTCAGGTGGTTGTATCTGGATCGAGGACGGGGGCTCCTGACCCACGCGAACCCATTCTGGCCTTTGGCCAGAGCACAGAGGGCAGACGGACATCCAGCTGGGTCGCCGATGGAGCGCCAAATTGGCCGGAGATTTCTCAGTCCATTGTGAGGGCCTTAGTGAGGGAACGAAACCCCATTCAACGCTGTCGTGGCTGGAGTCACTCGCGGTATCCGAGGCCCCCGAGGATCAGTTTAGGAAGGCTTCGGACCCATCTCTGGGGCTGTCCATCCTGCCCACGGGATCTATTTGGGAAGGGTAGGAGGCTTGGCTTTAAGAGTCCTGCGCTAGGCTGAACCCATTCGTCGTTTCCACCGAGGCTCCGGCAGTCCCGTCTGGTAGTGTACCGGCTTATGTCAGGTAGAACGACAGGTAGTTGATGACGTGCCTCCCTCTCCACTCCCTGACCTTCTGAGCGCGAGCTGGAAGAGCCTCGAGGCCTCCCTCGGATTCCTTCAGCTGCGCCTCGAGCCGGGAAGAGGGGGGTGAAGATGGAGGGGAGAAGGAGGAGGCGAGGAGGAAGGCGGAAGGAGGAATCGGTATCCCAGAGTCCAGAAGCATCTCTTTAGGCAGCTTATGAGAAATGGGAATGGAGCTGGAAGGAAATGACCAGTCAATCAGTGAAAGAGCACCTATATATTAAGTACCTACTGTGCGTCAGGCACTGTGCTAAGCACTGGATATACAAAGAAAAGCAAACCCCCCTACAATCCCTGCCTTCATGTTGCTCACAGTCTAATGGAGGTGGCCGCATGGGAATATGCAGGAAATGAGAGGTAATCCCCGAGGGAAGATATGTTTAGCCTATGAGGAGGGAGAAAGCATAAGGCTAGTTTGACTAGTTCACACACACTGCCTCATAGGATGCTTGCCATGTGGACAGACTACAGACTTTGAAATCCGAAGGTCTGGGTTTGGATTGCAGGGCTGCCTTATCATTGATTCCTCTTCCCCCTCAAGACCTCCTTTACACTTCTGTGTAAAATGAGGTGGTTGGACCTTTCCTCCAGCATCCCTCAAGTCCATTGCAGCTGGATCCCCACCAAGTCCCCTCTCCTTCTTGTGTAACCCGTCTTGGAGTTACCCTGGCTGAGTAGGAGATCTGGAATTCCCGGATTCCTCCCCTCCTACTACAAGATCTCTGTATTTTTCAGAGGAATTTTTCAGTGTTTTTGGAGATTATGAGTAATTTGTATAGTGACACATTTAAAAGGAATTGTTCTTTAAATCAATATTACATCTGGACAATTGTGGGCAATAGTTGAATCTATTAATGATGGTTCAGTTCAAGTATAGTTTATTTTTTGACTTCTCAAGGATATTTTGGGGTTGATATTTATAGTTCAGGGATGTGTCATTCATTAGTTTATGAAAGATACCAATAATCGTTGTATATAGACTAATAATTGAATTATACTAATTATGATAAAATATTATCTGAAAAACATAGTATTTTGAATTTATTCCGGGGAATCTGCTCAGTTTGCATTTGAGCTGAAAAAACAAAATTGTTAGATCTAATGGCAAATCATGAATCCTTCCTTCTCTCTTCATCTCCATAATGAACACTTTCTCCTGTAGAGCTGAAAGCTTCCTCCTCCCCTCAACTCCAAGGCAGGATTTTTCTGAATGAAAATTGGCTCTCTTTTGCCTCCCTAAACTCCTCCTACTTCCCTACATCAGAGGGGTGTAAATTCTATCCCCTTGGGCTCCCTGCATCGGTATGTATGAAGCCTCTCACATTTCAGAGTCTTTCCTTGAAAGAAGTCCGGGAAGCACTGACCTGGATTTTCATCAGCATGGGGCATGTCTATCCAGCAGAGGGCAGTCACTCCACATGTGCTTTCTGGCAAGCTGACATTCTCAAAAGGTTCATTAATGTAATGCTAGGCTCTTGGAATGTAAGGGGTGAGAAGCATCTTAAAACGTGGGGTGCTGGGGAAGGCTGAAAGGCAAATGACAGAATCTCAGAGCTGGGTGAGCTCTCCCAGAACATGTAAACAGGACTCCACAAGTGGCATCATTTCTGATAAGTGGTCACCCAACTCTTGCTTAAAGACTCCCATTGAGGGTGAACCTGCTAAACCCCCTGCTTATCTCCCCAAGGAAGCTTTGAGTCAGCTCAAATTGTTAGGAGTTTTTCCTTATGTCAAGTTCAAATCTGCCTCTTTGCAGCTTCTAAGCTAACATACAGGGAGGTTGTAACTTTTCTAAGACCACGAATTGTTACTAAGACCACATTTATTGTTAGGGGGAACCTTAGAGATCATCCAGTCAGATTTCCCACCCCATTCAAGAAGCCTCCTTGATCATAGTCAATAAATATTAAGTGCCTACTATGTTCCAGGCATTGGGCTAAGGTCTAGATACAAAGAAAGGTAAAAGTCAATACTAAGTGTTCATAGTCTAATGGGGGAGACAACATGTAAATAACTATGATCAAGCTCTAGATGGGAATAAATTGGGGCTAGTCGACAGAGGGAAGACCCTAACTTTAAGAGGGATCAGGAAAGGCTTCCTGTAAAAGGTGGGATTTCAGCTGGGACTTGAAGGAAGCTGGGTAAGCCTCCTGGGAGAAGAGGAGGGAGAACATTTGAGCCATGGGGGACAGTCAGTGGAAATGCTTGATTACGTGCTAATTTCCTTGTCTATAAAATGCAACTAATCATGGTACTTAGCTCACAGGGCTGTTGTGATTGTTGTGATGACCAGGTGAGATAATGTAGGAAAAGTACTTTAAGAGCATAAAGGGCTGAACTTGGAATCAGGAAGCTCAGGGTTCAAATTCTACTTTGGACACTTGCTGTATGACCCCAGGTAAGTCACTTTATTTTTTTTTATTTAATTTTTTTAAAATTTTTTGGTAAGTTGCTTTAAATCTCTGAACCTTGCTTTCCTCTTTTGTAAAATCAATCAATGAGAATTTATTAAGGGCTTACTATGCTCCAGGCATTTAGCCTTCTCAGTTTTCCACCAATTCTTGCCTTGTTCTTCATATTCTGTCTTGACTACAGTCACATCTCTGTAAGATAAGTATAAAATTGGGGCAACATTATTTTAAGGAAAGATGTCTGGTCTTTCCTTTGCAAGCTGCAGGGTTAAGAAAGACAGTTGCCTTCTTCACTTGTACCTTGAAAGGAATGAGTTGATTTCCAAATAGTCAGAGATGTGAAGTTAAATGTAATAATGACACCTAATTCGTGAAGTTGTGAGTTTCAAATGCAGTGTTTGTAAAGCATTTTGCAAACCTTAAAAAGTGCTACTTAAGTGTGAGCAAGTATTATACTGTAATATATGATAATGTTACTAACATAATTATTAATCTTGTAATATTACTATGATGATTCATTCAGTCTTTTCTTGAACACTTCCAAGGAATGAGAAGCTCACTCTCTCCAGAGGCAATTCATTCTTTGGTTGGACAGATCTAGGCATTTGAATATCCTTCCATATGTTGGTTCAGTCATTTTCAGTTGTGTCCGACTCTTCATGACCCCATTTGGGGTTTTCTTGGCAGAGGTACTGGAGTGGTTGGCCATTTCCTTCTCCATGTCCTTTTACAGATGAGGAAACTGAGGCAAACAGGGTTATGTGACTTAACCAGGATCACACAGCTAGTAAGTGTCTGAGGTCAGACTTGAACTCAGGAAGAGGAGTCTTCCTGACTCTGGGCCTTCTACCCTATGCACTATGGCGCCACCTAACGCCATTCTTCCATACACTGAGTGGAAATGGCTTTCCTGTACACGTTGCCTCTGATTCTACCTTCTTAGCTTATCAGACCAAGTCTAATTTCTCATTCCTCTAATTTTCCCTCTAATTGTTGCATAGAATTACAGACTTTCGTAGTTGGAACAGACCTCATCAACCATCTAGTTAGTGCCTAGAAAAGAATCTTGACTATGAAATACTCCACAAGTGATCATCTAGTCTCTGCTTGAAGGAAAGAAGGAAGCTCCTACTGTGTTCAGGAACTCCCTCAACTCACAGTCCATTCCAGAGCTCTTCAGAGAGACGTTGAGAATGTCCTTGTGTCACTGCTTCTGACTTCTATTAGGTGGGTTCCTTGAGGGCAGCGACTTTCTCTTCTGCCTTTCTTTTTACCTCCAGTACCTGGCACATTAATAAATGCTTGTTGATTTTGGACCAAACAGAACCAATCTAAACCCTCTTTTATATGACACACCTGTCACGTCTCCCCCTTTACCTCATTCTTCTTTAGGCTAAGCGTAATAGCTCACATCTATATATTGGTCTTTAAAGTTTACAAAGTGCTTTACAAACATTATCACATTTGATCTTCACAACAACCTTTGAAATAAGTGATATTATCATCTCTGTTTTATGGATGAAGATACTAAGGCTGAGAAATTAAATGACTTGTCCGAGACCACAGAGCTAGAGAGTACTTGATTTGTTTGGCCTCAAGTCAAGTCAATCAACATTTATTAAGCACCTACTGAGTGCCAGGCAACAAAATGCTGAGCAGGGGAGATAGGAAGGCAAAAAAACAATCCCAGCCCTTAAGGAGCTTACCAGGTAAAGGGGGAGACAACATATAAACATGAGGAAACTGAGGCAAAAAGAGGCTAAGTATCTTGCCTGAGGCAGGATTTGAACTTGGTTCTACCAGACTTCAAGTCCAACATGCTATCCTCCCCAACTGAGGACTGATTTGTGCTGATCCTCATATGGCATGAACTGAAAACCTTTTGCCATCCCCTTGATTATACTCTCTGGATACTGCTTAGCTCATCAAAGTCCTTTCTAGCCTGGACTTGAAAACAATATTCCAAATGTGGTAGAGGAGGGCAGGGCTGTCACCTTAGTCCTGGACGCTACAATCTAACCTGAGATTGCTTCAGTCCTTTTCTGTGGTATCTCATTGTTGACTCCCAATGAGCTTGCAGTCCACTAATACCCTCAGATCCTTCTCCATGCCTCCCGTCCCCCACCTTGCACTGATGATGGGGACATTTGAACCCAAGGTGGAGAATTTAACCTTACTAAATGTCGTAAGATCCTAGTTTGAGAGCTGAAAGGGACCTCAAAGGCCATTCTCTCTAATGCCTTCCTTTTACAGATGAAGAAACTGAGACTCAGAGAGGTTAAGACATTCACTCTGGCTCATATCAACAGTAAATGTCAGAGATAAGACAGAGCCGTATGGTTACCACTCCTATTAACTGTTCCTTTTTCATCTCCTTGTTATGGCTGGAACAACACCCACTCCTCTTCCAAGTGTAAGGGGGCTTGCCCTGACTCTTCAGCAATCTCACATAGCCCAACACGGAGGCACCATGAGCACTTTGCGCTCCTACCACGTGGGTGGCTGTGTGTTTAAAACAGGCCACATTGGGGTAGTCTCTTTTTTCCTACAGCATCTAGAGGGGGAAGGTCACACACAGCTGGTGGGTGAACTGGAAAGGTTCCCTTCCCCTTCTCTCCTTTTTGCCCTGGCTCAAGAAATGTGCCTTGGGGTGGTGGTGGTGTTTGTTTCTGTGTTGTTCCTTTTGTCCTTGGTTTCAGGTGCCCGGTGATGCCCACTGGACCAGGCATTTGAGCCATGGAGATCTTGGAGTCAATATTCTAGGTGGGATATTTCAGCCAGCCAGCCTGGAGAAGCCAGGGTTCCTCATAATCCTATTCAAGTATGGTGGAAAGGCCACCAGACTGGGAATCAACAAACCTTGCCTCAGTGGCTAATTTTGTTGAATCTTAGAAAGGTTACTTTCTTTTCTGAACCTCAGTTTTCTCATATGTAAAATGGAGGCATTGGTCTCTGAGGGCCTTCTAAACATTCTATATTCTAAGTCCCCTTCCAGCTCAGACATTCTATGACCTATAGACTGCTCTGTCAGTCTATATACTAAGGTCCCTCTGACCTCAGATGTTCTATGGTGCAAAGCAGTGGTGTGCTGGTAAAAGTTGAGCAATCAGCTCTCTTGGAAAAAAGGAAAAGCATTCATGACACATTTAAAGTTTAATTTGATTATTAACATTTTCTCCATAACTTTCTTAAGTCTAGACGATCAACAAAAAATCAATCAAACCCTGATATGTGGCATCTGCAGAATTTCTGCAATGAAAATGTTCACACTGGAAATTTAACATCAGCTGGGACGAGCTGCCTCCAGCACAGCCCCGGTTCAGGACCTCTTCTTGTTTGAGGATTCTAGGCTCTGTAATTCAGCCTCCCAGTTCCTCCTCAGCTCTAACCTTCTGTCTCCTTCTCAGTCCCCCCTCTTCTGTCCCTTCCCTTTTCCATCTGTCCCAATCCCTCCCCACCATATCTCTGTTCTAGTCTCTTTTCCTCCCTATGCCTGCTACCTTCTTCATCCTCTTCACTTTGGACATAACCAGAGCTGAAGGGATTGGAGGCAAGGAATTGTTCTGTAGCAACAGGAAGGAATCAAGAGAGACCTCTAGATTTTGAAGAAGGTTCTTGTGCTTCAAGGTGGCAGAATGAGGTCATAGGAACATAGCTGAAGCGCTGGAAGCGGCCTCTGAGGTCATCTAGTCCAACTCTCCCATTTTACATATCAGGAAGCTGAGGTCCAGAGTGGTTAGTGACCTAAGGTCACACAAGGAGTGAGTGGCTAAGATATGAACCCAGGTCCTCAGACCCCAGGTGGAGCATGCTCGCCACTGCACTGCATCGCTCCTCAGTGGTCAACTAAGAGGTCTGACCTCTCCCATCTGGCTGTATTTCTGGGCATGAAGTGGCCTTCAGCAGCCAGGTTCTGTGTGGGAAGCAACAGGAGCTTGGTGGGATATGTGGCGAAATGGTAGGAATTACCCCCTTATCCCAATCCCTCTTTGAGGGCAGGGGCTCTTTCCCTTTTATCTTTATATCCCTAGCATTTAGCACAGTACCAAGCACATAGAAGGCACTTAACAAAGGCTTGTTGATTGACTGACTTCAGGGGTCTCCAAGCTGATAACTAGACCACCTCTTGTTATATATGTTAGGGCAGGGCTTCATTTTGTGCATGGTTTGGACAAGAAGGCTACTGACATCTCCTTCTAACACTCATATTCTGTAATTCCAGAGTTCTACGACAGCAGCAGTCAGTATTTACCAATGAGGATTGACAGTAATACTAACAATAACACGGCACCTTTAAGTTTTTGATATCTCACAGTCATTGTTTTCATTTCAAGAGACAGGTCAATGTCCTTGACCGTGGCGGAGCTCAACCCTGAGTGGAGGAGGGCAGGGGATTAGGACATTCAAAATCTGGATCTTTATTTTTTGGGAAGGAGAAAATGACTCAATCCAGCGTCTCAGTTTTTCAGCATCAGCTTTAATAGCAGGGCCTGGGTAGGACTCAGAATGAGGAAGAGAGGTTGAAGGTGGGTAGCATTTGTGTCCCTCTGGATCCTTTCTCCCAGGCCTTTGAGAGAAACATTCCCCTTCCCATTGCTCCTGAATCCAAAGGCTTAGCTCTGTTTGATGCTCTCTCTTTTCTGGGAAGTGGGTTGTCCAGGTTGGGGTGTGTTTGGGGTAGGGGGAACTTTGACTTCGGAGCTTCCTAGGGGAGGGGCAGCTGCAGCCTGAGCACAGTACTCTTAACCCGGCGGTCCATCCTGCTACAGACCAGTGCTGCTAACATTGAGGTACATGTCCTTTCCTCATCACTCTTAACCACCTCCCTCCTCCCTCAGCAAGTTGTCAGGGACTTCCTAATCCCCTGCTCCTCCTGCCATAGCCTCCCTGGGACACTCTGGTCAGGTGAGAAGGTTAGGGGAGGAAACATGGCTTTTTTTTTTTTTTTTTTTTTTTAGAAACATGCTTTTCTTACAGGGCTTCTGGCTGGCCCCAAAGGACAGATGCCCTTGACAGAGCTGGGTTCCTCAAGCTGACCTGGGCTTGGGGAATGGAGGCCTGATCTGCTTCGGCTGGCTCTGTTGGGCATTCTTTTGCCTCCCTATTGAAGCAACGGTGAGTCACACGAGGGCTTCTTAACTCAGGCGAAAGGATCGTTTGACCTACTCCAGGAAGGCCTCCTGTATTAGCCTCAGCCTTGCCTCCCTGAACAATTCTGTTCCCAGATCTCCAGTCCTCACATTGGCCCTGGATCTTGGAGCCTTGAGCCTCAGCCCTGTGGGCACCTTTGCCTCCGGGCTCTGTGCCATCCTGGGGCCCCGCTGAAGTGGAGTCAACCAGGTGGCGCCTTCTCTGCAGGATGGCCACTAGCTGGCCATCGGGAACCCTCCGGCTGCTCTTCTTTCTCCTGCTGCTCCTGCGCAGGGGCCTGCATTTGGAAGCCTGGGGATGGAGAGGCCCTTAAGAGATCCCTCCCTCACCCTCCATCCATGAGGGAAGGTGAGGGGAGCACGGGAAGGCAGCAGCTACTGGAGTCTTCAGACCCCAGCTGGAACCAGGAGGTGCAGGCAGCAATGAGCCCATCTCCTATGTCCTTAGCCATTGTATAAGTGAGCCCTTCAGAGAAATAGGGAATCTCAGAAGGTCAAGGACCGCAGAGGACATCTGGGGGATCCACACCAACACGTCTCCCATAGATGGTCATACAGCCTCTGCTTGAAGACCTCTAATGATGGTGAACTCACTACTTCCTCTCGTGGATAGCTCTAATCTTTGCAATTCTTTGTGTAAAGCTAAAATCCACCTCTCTGCACTCTCTAGTCATTGCTCTAGTTATGTCCTCAGATGCCAAGTAAAATAACATAATCCTTCTTTCACATCCTTGAAGGTAGCTATTGCATCCCCCCATTCCTCTGTACCCCAAGTCTTCTCCAGGCTAAACATTCCCATTTCCTTCAGAGTGTCTTCCCACAATATGGTCTTTCGTTCCCTTATCACCCTGGTCACTGTTCTCTGGTCCAGCTTGTCAAGGCCCTGCTCCAAAGGTGATGTCTAGAGCCAGACCCAACACTCCTAAGACTCCTGAGTTCATGGGGCAGTGAGTTGAACTAGGATGGGGCTGGTAGCAGAGGAAAAGGAGGTTGGGGGAGACAGCCTCCATGGCCCAGTTTGAACTGCCCAGCAAGGCCAGCCTTGCCTAGAAGCCATATGACTGGGAAGAAATTCCCCCAATTACCCACTGTCCCATCACTGTGTCTGAAGTCCCACCATTAGCACTTCACTCCTCCATCCCCTTTGGGTTCTGCAGGGCCCTCCCCAAGGTTCAGTTTGCTCTTTAGTCCCTTACAATGTGGTTCTAGTGAGTTTTTTTGCTCTTGACAAGAGTCTGGCTAGTACTGGACGTTCATTCACTGCCTCAGTTTCCCAGTGGCTCGTGCCAAGCAGTGGCGGATCTCCCCTCCCCCTCCCTGCTTCCCTCCTTGCTCCCAGTTTGATGGCTCTCACCAGTATGGTCTGCAGCTCAGTTATCGCAGCACTCCTACGCTTGCTTCGGTCCTGGGAATAAAAAGACTGTACAGAATCTGCATAGCACACAGCCCTCTATGACAAGCTCTATTAGACAGCTCTCCCTTGTGTGTCCCTGCATTTTCCATGACTACGCTCTCTCTATGGAGGAGATGCCATCCTCCCAGCTACCCAGGACCTCCATTTCACATTCATCTTGGGCTCATCTCTTTCACTCACCCCAACTTCCATGGGGTCCCATTGATTTCTCATTCTTAACATCTCTGGAAATTCTTTCCTTGGTGCAGGCCCTCATCAACTCGCGCCTAGACCATTACCCCCCTCCTGAGTGGTCTCCCTGCTTCCGTGCTTTCCCTTCCCCCATCTGCCCTCCTCGTAGCTGGCCAAGTCATCTTGAGGTGCTCAAGAAGGCCCCCCTGCCTTGGGGCAGCTAGGTGGCACAGTGGATAGAGCACCGGCCCTGAAGTCAGGAGGACCTGAGCTCAAATCTGGTCTCAGACCAAACACTTGACACTTAATAACTGTGTGACCTTGGGCAAGTCACTTAACCCCAACTGTCAAAAAAAAAAAAAGAAGAAGAAGAAGGCACCCCTGCCCAAAAATTTTGGTCTCTAGGATAAAACACAAGTTTCTCAGTCTGGCATTCAGAACCCTCCACCATCTTGTTTCCATCTGTCTTTTCAGCTCCCCATCAAACCCTACCAGGCCTGGAAAGGTCATGTCAATCAACCACCTTATGGCTCCATTCACCATCCCTGGGACTTCAAAGTCCAAAGCCCCCTTTCTGGCTGCCAGAATGTAGGCTCTTTGAGGGCAAGGCCTGTCTTTTTGTGTCTGTATTCCCCATGACTAGCACAATGCCTGGGATATAGGAAGTGTTTTTTCATCCATCCATTCATCCATTTTATCTTTATGTCAGTTATTTCAAACCCCTCTCCCCCAGTTAAACCCTCCCTTGAGACTAAAGAAACAAACAGGCAGAAGCATCCCTATGCAGTCTCTGTATCTGTACCTGAACAGCCCTGCACCTCTTTGCCTTTATAGGGCAGATAGAGTTCCTTATCGCTTCTCTTTTCTGACTTTGGAATCGCTCAGAATCGGGAGACCTTATTCCGCACCACTCCCCCTTCTTCCCTCACTCTATGGTCCACACAAACTAGTGGCTTCCTGAGCCTGACATTTTATCTCCCACCTCCCTGCATTTGCACACACCGGCCTCCCTGCCTGGAGGGCCCTCTCTCCCCATCTCCTCTCAGAATCCTCATCTTCCCACAAGGCTGAGCCTCCCAGAAGCCTTTCCAGATTCCCCCAGTGGGTGGCGCTCTGTCTGTCTTCAAGTTACCTTGTGTGCCCCTCTCAATGCACCTGTTTCTTTCTTAATAGAATGTAGGCTTCTTGAGGAGAGGAACTGTCTTGGTTTTGTTTTCCTGTCCCCAGCACCTTGCATGGTGCCTGACACATAGTGTACTTAATAAATGCTTGCCCAATTTTCTAGTAAATTGAATAACCATTCAAAAAAAAAATCCCCAAAGCACCTACTATGAGTAGTGGTAGGAAGAGACAAAGAAGAATGAAAAACATTTCCTGCCCTCTTAGCACTTCCATTCTAGTGTTAGAGTTACATAATAGCCTCAGTGGGTCCAGTTCAAGTCTCATTTCCTCCAGGACACTGTCCTGATCCTTCCAGCCCACACTGGTCCCTTCCATGTAGGATGGTGGTTTGAAGACAGATTAGATAATAATAAAAAGCTACCATTTACATAGCACCTACTATATGCCGGGCACTGGGCTAAGCACTTCATAATAGCTACCATTTTTATAGAGCACCTACTATGTGCCAGGCACTGGGCTAAGCACTTTATACTAGCTACCATTTACATAGCACCCACTATGTGCCAGGCACTATGTGCTAAGAACTTTTCAAATATGATCTCCTTTGAGTCTCACAACAATTCTGTGAGGTAGGTGCTGTTAGTATCCCCATTTTGCAGATGCAGAAACTGAGGCAAACAGGGGTTAAGAGCCTTGCCCAGGGTCACACATCTAGTAAGTGTCTGAGGTTGGATTTGAACTTAAGTCTTCCTGACCCCAGGCCCAGTACTCTGTCCTCTGTGCCACCCCACTGCCTCCTAGGTAGTGTCAGGTCTGACCTCTTCATTTTACTGATGAGTAAACTGAGGCCCAGAGAGGCTGCGACTTGCCCAGTGCCTGAGCTGAGCAAGCTCAATCCCATGTTTCCATAATATGGAGTTACTGCCTTTAAGTCCCCCACTGCTAAAGCTGGGCCCATCTCCCTTGAGGGGCGAGGGATGGAGAAGGCCAGGTTTCTCAGGGAGTGGTACCTCACTGGTGTCCTTCTCTTTGGTGGCCGGTCTCAGCACAACTCCTTGACGAATCCTGTCCATCATTTCCTGCATTGCCTTTGCCTTCTTGTCCTCCAGGGAGGGGGCTGCCGGGGCTAGGGGGCAGTGAACATTGGGGAGGGGGCAGAGATCCATGGGAAGAGATCCCACCTCCTATTCTACCTGGTCCTTCTTTCCCCTTCCCATTTTCTCCCCAACATCCTCCTTGTCCTTCACTTTAATAAATAGTATTTTATTTTTTCCAATGACATAAAGACCATTTTCACATTCGTTTCTGTGTCCCCCATTGCTGACCCCCGGCTTTCCTCTCCCACCCAGCCCCCCAAGCTGAGCTCCCAAAGTTCCTTTTCCCATACACCTTACTGACCTGGTTGTGGATTCAGACCTCGCCTCAGCCGGATGACCTGAAGAGGGCTAGGGATGGAGAGGAGGGGGGATCTTAGGAGCCACAGCCACATCTCCTCCTCCCTTCCACCCACACTTGACGTTCCCTTCTCTGTCTCCCATTCCCACCTGCCCAAGTCTCCCCTCTCTCCCTTCAACCTCAGGACCTGCTCCTCTCATCACCTTCCAGGTCATTTCAGGGAAGCAGGGTGGGCTGAATGAGGAGGAGGGGGTACTTACTCTGCTGCAGGAGCAGAGGGTGGAGGCAGTGGGGGTGGCGGTGGAGGGGGAGCTGGAGGCAGAGCCTCTGGTTCCTGGCTTGGGGTTTCAGCCTTCTTCAGCCTCTCTTCCAAGGCACAGACTGCGGATGGAGGTGGGGAAAAGCAGAAAGATGAGCACTAAGTCTCTGGGGACATCACCTGTAGTTGCAACCACTCCCAGAGACCCCAGCGGAGTTTCTTTGGCCAGCACGGCGCTGTGCACGGATCCCTGGATTTGGGGTCTAAGTTTAAATCCTGACCCTGCCTCTGTGTGACCATGAACAAGTCACTTGACCTCTTCCAGCATCAGTTTCCTTTTCTGTACAATGAGGAAGTTAAATAACATCTCTTCCATCCCTAAGTCTATGATCCAATGACTGGTGATCTCTTTAACTCAAAATCAAAAGTTTCTTTGATTTTTGAGGTAGTAAACAGGATAAATTAATCCACTGATAGTAAGTAAATAATTGTTGAGGTCTTTAACATGCTTCTCTCAGAGTTAGACAAATATAACAGAAATGAGAAATGGAAACAAGAAAAAAGGATCTGAATATAATATAAAAAGAATAGATACAATTTAGTGTTGAGGAAGACCTTAGGGATCATTTAGTACAATGCACTCATTTTTTAGATGAGGAAACTGGCCCAGAGAGTGATTTTTCCTCAAGCTTAGTAACAGTAATGATAGCTATTATTTATGTAATGCCTACTACATGCCAGGCGCTGCATTAAGGGTTTTATAAATATTGTCTTGTTTGATCCTCATAACAACCCTGGGTTGTAAGTGCAATTATTATCCTCATTTTTTACAGATGAGGAAACTGAGGCAAATAGAGGTTAAGTGACTTGCCTACAGTCACAGAACTAGTAAAGTGTATGAGGCCAAATTTGTCCTGCGCTCTGTCCACTGTGCCACCTCACTGTCTCATTGTAGAGCTAGGATTAGAACTCAAGTCCTCTGAGTCTAAATGCGGTTCTCTCCTCACTAGGTTACAGTTTTCTTTTTAAGTCTTGGGAGCCTAGGCTCAGAGAGAGAGGTCTTTACAGCTCTAGGCTACTTCCTCCGGGCAGCCTTCCTTGATGACTCATTTTTCAATTTACCATCACACTTAGCAGCACTCCTTGTTTCCCGCTCCCTGCCTTCTTGTAATGAGCTCCTATATCTCTGTCTCTCCTGTCAGACTGGGGCTATGGATGTGTGTATGTGTTGATCAGCAGTGAGAACAGGGGTTTTCAGGAGGAGGAAGTCACAGCGGTCATCCAAGGAGAACGTACCCAAGGCCTCCAGCTGGGAGTTCTTCTCTTCTACCTCCTTCAGTTGCATCTTGAGGTATCCCACTTCCTCCTGGGATGCTTCCCAGGATACTACCTGGTGGTTAGCAGGACAAAAATAAGAAATTTTTTCTTTGCTAGACTTGTTTCGTACTCTGTTCTGTGTTTCCTTAGACTGCAGGGAGTCAGGGAAAGGGGTGCAATGGCTTCTGCCCCTGGAGAGCCGTGCTGGGGAGACCGGAATCAAGTGTACATGGTGTTTATAGAACACGAGCAAGCCGGGAGAGGATTGGACTTGAATTATAGGCTTGTAGAATCTTAAAGACCACCTCCTCCACCCTCTCCATTTTATACTTGAGGAAACTGAGGCCCACAGACACTAAATGACTTGACCAAGGTCACACAGGGACAGCTAGGTGGCTCAGTGGATAGAGTGCTGAGCCTGGAGTCAGAAAGACATGAATTCAAATCCGGCCTCAGATACTTCATGACCCTGGGCAAGTCACTTCACCTTGTTTGCCTCAATTTCCTCATCTATAAAATGAGCTACAGAAGGAAATGGCAAACCACTCTAGTATCTCTGCCAAGAAAACCCCAAATGGGTTCACGGAGAGTCTGACATGACGTTCAGGTAGTGAGTGGCAAAGTTGGGACTTGCACCCAGCTTGACTTTCTACTGTTCCCCAAGTCCTAGCCACTGCTGACAGCTGCCTCTTTCTGCAATGCAATCACAGCTCTGAAGCAAACAAGCCAACACACCCCTGAGAGCCTAGAGCACCATCTGGACTGAGAATCCATGGTTGCTGGAAGGGAGAGATGCACAGGGTGCAGTGGAGGAAGCAGGGTGATGCCGTGGCCGTCTGGGGGAGGATGGCCCTCTCTATCCAGCCTCATCACTTCTCCCTTCTCCACAGAGTTCTGCGTTCCTCCAAAATGGCTTACTGCAGCCAGTCAACCAACAAGCATTTATTAGGCGCCTGCTATATACCAGACACTGAGATAAACACTGGGGATACAAAGAAAAAGCAAAACCATCCCTGCCCTCAAAGAGCTTATGTTCTTATGAAGAAGGAGGAGACATGTAAATAATAAGCACATACAAGATATTCACAAAGTGCATAGGCAGGAGGTAAACTCAGAGGGGAAGACTAGCATTTCCCCCACAGGACATTCTATCTCTCACCTCCATGCCTTTGCATAGGCTGTTCCCTCTGCCTGGAATGCCGGTCACCTTCACCTCTGCCTCTTAACTCCCTCAGGGCATAGCTCAGCGCCACCTTTGACACGAGGAATCATCTCCTGATCCCCCTCCCACTAATCCTCCCCATGGAAAGGCTTAGTGTGTATTTCATATTTACTTCTCTGTGTACCAATGCATGAAAATGAGATGAGATTTGTAAAGTGCCACATAAACGCTGGCTGTTGTGATCACTCCTGGAGGTTCTTCTGCCTTAATACCGCCCTAGTTCATGGGCAAGTCACTTAACCTGCTTGCCTCGGTTTCCTCATCTGTAAAATGGGGATCATAACAGCACCGACCTCCCAGAACTTTTATGAGGATTAAATGACACTTACTAGTGGTGTGACCCTGGGCAAGTCATTTCACCTCTGGCTGCCTCACTTTCCTCATCTGTAAAATGGGGATCATAACAGCACCTCGCTCCCAGGGTGGTTGTGAGCAGTGCATGAAGTAATAATCGTCAAGTGCTTAGCACAGCACTGGGCACACGGGAAGGGCACACACAAAAACGCTAATTATTGTTGTTATTATTATCTGTGTATACGTTGTTTCTCCAGCAGAATGTGAACTGCTTGAGGGCAGGGGCTCTTTAAGCACTTTTATCTTTGTGCCTCTAGTAGTCAGCCTGGCACTGAGTATACAGTAGGTGCTTAGTACATGCTTGCTGAATTGAATTGAAGGCTCATAGGACCGTAGACTTAGCTGGCTGGAAGGGATCGAGTCCCACACCTTCATTTTACAAGTGAGGAAACTGAGGCACAGAGGGTCATACAGTTCTCAGGGTCATACAGTTAGGAAGTGTCTGAGGTGGGATTTGAACCCAGGTCTTTCTGCCTGTGAGTCCTGCACTCTATCCACTGGTCTACAGTACCTCCCAGATCCAGTCCCCCATGCCCCTGAATCTACGAGCCGTCTTGGGTTACTGGCCATGGGCTCTGTCTCTGCTTGGTCCAACCTCCTCTATCTCTGAACTTCTCTCCTGTCCCCGCCACTTTCATGCCCCGATCACGCTGTATCAATCGGACCTGGCCCCAGACTGCTGGGACCCTGGACATCCTGAAGCACCCCCTCCAGCCCAGCCCTCCCCATCTCACCTGCTTCCTGTGCTGACCCTTTGCCTCCTCCAGGGCTCTGCTCAGCGCGGCCACCTCCTCCAGGGCTGCGGACAGCTGGGTGCCGGGGGCGTGGTTCTGCAGGAGGATGGAGCTCTGTCGGTGGGCCTCCTTCTTCTCTACCAGCATCTGGAATGGGGCGGGATGGGGAGGAAAGGGAGACTGTGAATGGTACCCATAGGGCTGGTCCCTCGGAGCCAGGTCATGGGGACAACAGTCTAAGGCTGATGAGTTCAGAGGATCATTCACGGCTCGTCCGGTCTGAGCCCCATCCAATTCTCAAACTCTGGCTTGGGATCTGGATCTATGAGCACGTGTCATCTCCCTGGTAGAATGGAAGCCCCTCAAGGGCAGGGGCCATTTTCTTTCTACCTATATCTCCAAGACCTTGCCGGGTGGCACATAGTAGGTGCTTTATAAATCCTTGGTTTCTGGATGCTAAAATCCACTCACAGGGGCTCTTAGGCACAGTCACACATACCAGCCGCAGGATGGTACCTTATGGGCGAAGATCTCAGCTTGCTGGCGCAGTTCTTGTTCTAGGTGAAGTTGTTGCCAGGCTTCTCCGAACTCCTGCAGCACGAGGTGGGACACTGGGAGGAAGGGGAGGAGGAGGGGCATGAGGGAGGACAGCACTGGGAAAGGACCATCTGGCAAAGTCTGGGGAAAGGAGGGGAGGCTGGAAATGAGGAATGTTGGCTCTCCCCCATATTGTGATCCTAACAACTGACCCACTCCAAGGCTAGGGTAGGAAATGCTGACTCGGCATAGATGGGCACATACCCCCTCACCCCAACGCTCTTCACTCACCCCGCTTCAATTTTTCCAGGGCTCTTTGAGACTGCCCCACGGACGTCTGCAGGGAGCTCCGCTCCAGCCGCTCCTTCTGAATCTGTGGGGACAAGGTTGGGGACAGGAACCCCTGAGATCTGGACAGGCACAGAATCATAGTCGTATACACAGCTAGCCAGCCAGCCAGCCAGCCAGCCAGCCATGGCCCGACACGTAAAGGGATGAGAACAGAAAGAAAGACACACGCAGATGGGTGAAGGAGACACAGACACACCAGTGTGGAGGGTGCCAAAGACCCGGACAGACGGACAAACAGACAGACAGACACGTGTGTGTGCGCGCGCACACACACACACACACACACACACACACACACACACACGGACTCAGAGCTGGACGGTAACAAGCCAGCAGAGGGACGGACCCAGGCGAACACACACAGGCGTGAGGAGAGACGCAGATACAGAACAGGGAGGAAAACAGAAGCTTCCTCCAGGGCTGCCTAGAGTCCCGACTCTGGGAGGGGGCCATATGGAAAGGGAAAGAAGAAGTGGGGGGAGTAGAGAGAGGAAAAACGGGGGGGCACCGAACAGGGAGAAGAGGGGCCGCAGCAGAGAGGCAAGCAGGAAAGGCGGGGAGGAACCCAGAGAGAGGAAAAGGGCTGGGCCGGGCCCCAGCACCCTACCTGCTCTTCCTGCTCCTTCAGCTGCTGCCTGAGCTCTTGCACCTGAAGGGCTAGTTCCTTCTTCTCTTGAAGGAGTTCAGCCACCCGAGCCCCAAGATCTCGAGAGGAACAGAGGCAGCTCATCTCGGGGGAGGCCCTCGGACTTCGAGGGGGGCTGGGGATCTTGGTAGCCATTCCTTGGCCTGGGGGAGACTGGACAGCTCTCTAGTACCTGCTTGGGCTCCCCTGGGACCCTGGGATCCCCGGCCCGGGCTGCTTTTGTCTCACTGGGGACGGGTTAGTCCTGCCTGGGGCTCCTCGGACCCCGGGAGAAGAAGAGAGAGGCCAGGTCAGCCTAACTTCTCTAAGCTTACCTCCTGTTTATGAGTGAGGGAATTACAGCGGGGGATGTGGGGGGGATTGGAGGCCGGGATCCGGGCCCTCCGCTCACTGGCTGAGCCCCGCTTTTCCCTCTGAGCTTGAGCTGGGCCAGCCTTGGCCCTGGTTGCCCGGATTGGCCCAGTCTTTTCTCACCTCTGATGTGTCGCTGTTCTGGACTGAGGCTGAGCTCTAAGGGGGGACCCTGCTCCCGGGGTGTGATGTGCAGAGGCTCAGGGCCCAGGCCGGGGAGGAGGGCAACACTTAGGCGCTTCAGCTCCTCATTCTCCTGGCTCACCTGGAGTGAGGATAGAACAAGGGTGCAGAGAGAGGTGTGTGCTCATTGATTGGGGAGACACATCCCCTCCCCCCAGGGGCCCCTTGGTGTGTGGGGGGGAGGCAGCCCCTGTCTGCCCTCGGGGAGTCCCTGGTCTGATTGGGAAGATCTTTCCCTCAAGGAGCCCCTCTGGGCTTGGGGGAGACAGGCTTTGGGGTTCCGGCAAGGTCAAAGGCCTCAGCTAGCTTCTTTTCCGAGGAGGCCCCAGGGCAGAGAGGCTTGGGTCAGTAAACCTCAGCTGCCTTAGCTGGGACAGGACTTTCACTTTTCCATCAGCCTCAGTTTCCTCATCTATCAGATACAGATTTAAGTCCCAATCCTATTTCACCTGGGCAATGGATGGGTCATAGGGGGCTGGTGGAGCTAAGGAAGTCTCCCCCCCAGACCAAATGGGGGTGGGCCTGTCAAACACGATAATCATTCCCCCTAATTCAGAGTTTTGAAGTTTTCTCAGCAATTTTAACAATTTTTTTCCCTCACTGGATTCTCACCAAATACTGTGAGGTAGATAGTACAAGTATTGTTACCCCATTTTAGAGATAGGGAAACTGAGTCTGAGAAAGGTGAGGTGACTTCTCCAAAGTCATACAGCCAGTAGGTGGCCTGGCAAGATTGGAACCCTGGTCTTCTAAACAGGTGGTGGTGTTAGATTAAAAATACAAATGAAGTCAGGTAGAGAGAGAGGCTGTTCTGCTATGACTTTGGACTTCGATGGTTTCAAACCTCCCTCAGATAGATACTTGCTAGTTGTGTGACCCTGGGCAACATTTAGCTTCCTTCAGCCTCAGTTTATTCATCTGTACAACGGAGATAAAAGTAGCTCCTTCTTCCCAGCATTGTTGTGAAGATCAAACGACACTATCAGCCAATAAGCACTTATGATAACTTTATTATATATTTTTTTTCTTGCTTTTTGATTAGGCAGTCGAGGTTAAATGACTCGCCCAAGGTCACACAGCTAGTAAGCATCAAGTGTCTGAAGCTGGATTTGAACTCAGGTCCTCCTGACTCCAAGGATGGAGCTCTATCCACTGTGCCATCTAGCTGCCCCAATAAGCACTTATTAAGCACCTACTGTGTGCCAGGCACTGTGCTAAGTGCTGGGGATACAAAGAGAGGCAAAGACAGTCCCTACCCTCAAGGGGCTCACACTCTGATAAGGAGACAACATGCAGACAACTAGGCGTGTACAAGAAAAATTAAAAAAATACATACACACACACATATATGTGCGTATGCATATGTGCATATATACTTTTATTATCTGTCTATTCTCTCTTCTCTCTCTAGTCTTCCATCATCTCCCTATCTAGCCTCTCATCTCCTTCTCTCACCATCTCTTTTTTTATTCTATCATCTCCTTCCCTCCCTCCTTCTCTCTCTCTCTCTGTCTGTCTCTGTCTCTGTCCCTGTCTCTGTCTCTGTGTCTGTGTCTCTCTCATAAATGGAAGCAGAGTCTGTGTGTCTGTCACCTGAGGACCAGCCCAGTAAGGGAGGAGAGGTCACCTCTGGGAGGTTGGCTGCCAATTTATTATTTTTCTTAACCATGCAAACTCATGAAACCCCCTGAGAAGGACTAGAGGAGCTGAGGTCTGTGGTGGTGGAGGGAAGGGCCACACAGCTGTGTTAATAACAGGCTATACTACATAGTGCTTTAAGGTTTGCTGAGCTTTTTACAGATGAATCTCACTTGATTCTCACAACAGCCTTGGGAGGCATTTGCCTCCATTTTACAGATGAGGAACCTGAGGCTGAGACAGATGGCTTGCCCAGGGTCATTCAGGCAGGAAGTGTCTTGAGGTGGGATTTGAACCCAGGTTCTCTGACGCCAAGCCCGGCACCCTCACCACTACCTGTACCTGATGAGATCACCGGGACTTGAAGTAAATGATGGTGGGAGGAAGGAAGATGGTGGGACCTTGAATGAATCTTTCCTGAAATAAGTGACCACATGTGGCGGGGAGGCTGGGGAGGTGGAGGGGGCAGAGGCTGTTCTGTGGGGGCGGCGGGAGGAGCCTTACTCACCTGAGCAGCATATACCTCTGCCTGCTCCCTGCAGGACCTCTCCACCTGGCATTCTGCCTCCAGGACAGACAGCTCAGTCAGCAGGGCCTGTGAGGCTGGGGAAGGGACAGTGACCGAGTGCTCTAGCCTCTGCTTGGTATCCTCTCACCCTGTGCTAGAACAAGGCCCTCCCAGCCCGGCCTCTCTGGGTTTCCCTCCAAGGGGTAGAATTCCATTGCCCGGCCCTCCACCACCCAGCCTCCTTCTCAGCTTAGGTTTGTGATCCTGGCTTGGGGCTCTGCTCTTGGCAGCCCTGGCCTCCCCTGATCATGACCCGGGCCTCACTTTTTGTACCCTCCCAGCACCATCTTGCCTTCGGCCCCGGCCTCGGCCTCGGCGTCCAGAGGTCTGATTTTGCGCCCAGGCTCTACTCCCTAAGTTTCAGTCCACGCCTGAAGATGGATTGAGATGGAGGGGATGGCCAGGACAGCTGGTCATGGTGCCCCTGACAAGGGGACATGTTTTGTCGCCTTTCTGGCAGCCAGGGTGGATCCTCTCCAAAATGCAGTCATCTTTCGACGGGCTTTGGAGCTGTGCCCCTAGCAGTGGGGATGGGCTGCCTGCAGCCATCCCCGCTCTCAGGAGAACCCTCTCTGACAATGGCACCTATCTGTGAAATGCTTGGTGGACCAGAAGGACCACAACAGGCCTCGTTAGCTCTAATGACTTAGCTAATCTAGTTGGCAGGATAACACCTTGCTGTCCTGATCACTTTCCTCCTGCATGCTGGTGGTCTTTGTCTGCCTTCCTGGGAGGGCAGAGGGCAGGGGGAGGGGGAGGTGGTTAGGGATGGACTCACCTTGCTCTAATTCCATCAGTTGCTTCTGGCCCTGCTCCCAAGATCCTTGCTGAAATGGGACAAAGGGAGAAACCTAGCATTGGCACAGCCCACCCTGGGCACCTGGGCCTCTTTGGTCAGCCTCCTAGAGGGGGCCATAGTCCCTGCCCTCAAGAGGTTCATGGTCCCTTCAGATGACCCCCATCTCACATGGTCTCCAATCCCCTCACCAGCTTGGTGTCAAAAGAACTGCCTCCAGGTTGGGTGACCTTGGACAAGTCACTCTCTCCGGGCCTCAGTTTCCCCAACCATGAAATGAAGGGGCTAGACTAGATCACCCCTAAGTTCCCTTTCAGCTTGAAATCTATGATCTTTTGGCCACTTGGGTCATTTCCCCTAAAAGTCACACTCTCCATTCTGAAGGTGTGGACAGGGCTTTCAGGCCTGGTGTTTCAGATCATTGAGGCCTCTGTCTCCACAGGATAAGCCTGTGGGTTCTGGGCCAGTTGGCTGGGGGAGCGATGGGTGGGATTGTGGGGTCAGGGAAAGAGTTTAGCAGGTGTCTCTGCACCTCCTCCAGCTCTTCCTCCTCATCTTGGGATGTGCTGGTTTCCTCCGAGAGGGAAGACGCATAGCTGCTTTTTCTGATGTCCCCAATGTCTTCAAGGATAGCTGGAAGACACAGATGCATGGGCCCTAACTCAGGACCTCCCCCATGGCAAGCCTCAGCCTGGGGCCTGTCCCCGGGGCCTCTCTTCTCTACCTGTACCTATCACACCCACCCCACCTGACACGAGCTTTCAGAGAGCCTCTGCCTTGGGGGCTCTCGCCCTCACCCACTGACATCCCTCCGGTCCCTTCTCTGCCGCAGAACTGCGCTCAAAGGCTTTGCTTCAGTGAAGACTTCCTTGAAACGTTTCTTCTTGCTCTAGTCACTTGTGGCTCTCTGTTCATAAAGCACTGGGGTGTAGAGTGGGGCATACTGAAGAGCTCAACAGATTTGGAGGCCAGTCCCAGCTCTGGCCTTACTAAATGTGTGCCATTTCTACCCCTTTAAACTGTAGCTTCTTCATCTGTGAAATGGGCATAAAATGTGACCTTTATCTATAGGTCAACTTTAAAGGGCTACATAAATGTAAGTCACTATTATACTACAATTTAGACACAGGATTGGGTGGGATAGAGTCTGATGGAGAAGACACAGGCCCTGCCCTCCATCAATCAGTCAAGATTTTATAAGGTACCTATTGTGTGCCAGGCACTGTGCTAAGCACTGGGGATACAAAAAGAGGCAAAAGGCAGTCCCTGCCCTTGAGGAGCTCACAATCTAACAGGGGGAGACAAATAAATATGTACAAACAAGCTATATACGGGATAAATAGGAAATAATTGATAGAGAGAAGGCCCTAGCATTAAAAGGGCTTGGAAAAAACTTCCTGAAAAGATGGGTTTTTAGTTGAGACTTAAAGGAAGCCAGGGAGGTCAGAAGAAGATGAGGACTGAGGGAATTCCAGGCATGGAGGACAGCCAGAGAAAATGCCTAGAGCTGAGAGATGGAGGGTCTTGTCTGTGCAGCAGCCAGGAGGCCCGTCACTGGATCAAGGAGTGCTTACTGGGGAATAATAGGAAGACTGGAAAGGTAGGAGGGGGCTAGGATATGAAGGGCTTTGAATGCTAAAAAGCGGATTTTCTATTTTTTCCTGAAGGCACTGGCGTTTATTGAGCAGGAGGTGGGACATGATCAGACCTGCTTTTTAGGAAAATCACTTTAGTGGCTGAATGGAAGATGTACTCGAGTGGGGAGAGACTGGAGGCAGGCAGAGCCCCCAGAAGCTGTTGTAATCATCAAGGTGATTAGATGCTGAGGGCCTGCACCAGAGTGGAGGCAGTGTTAGAGGAGAGAAGGAGGGGGTTATTCAAGGGATGGTGCAAAGGTGAAATTGCCAGACCTTGGCATAGATTGGATATGGCAGGTGAGAGAGAGGAAGTTTAGGGTGAGCCCTTGGCTTTGAGTGACTGGAAGGATGGTAGTGGTGCTCCTGACAGTAATGGGGAAATTAGGAGGGTGGGGGGGGATTTAGGGTGAGAGAGAATGAGTTGGATTTTGGACACGTTGAGTTTAAGATGTCTACAAGATATCCGGTTCAAGATGTCTGAAACACAGATGGAAATGTGAGATTAGAGGTTAGCAGAGAGGTTAGGGCAGGAGAGGGAGATTTGAGAATTGTCAGCAGAGAGGATAATTCAATCCATGGGAGCTGATGAGATACAAAGTAAAGGAGAATAGAGGGAGAAGAGAAGAGGGCCCAGGCCAGAACCCTGCCAGGACACTTATGGTAAGAGGGCGTATCTGGATGAAGAGGGAGCGAAGGAAACATAAAAGGAATGGTCAGACAGGTAGGAGAAGATCCAGGAGGGAGGGGTGTCCTGAAAACCTAGAGGGTGATCAATGGTGTCAAAGGCTACTGGGAGGTCAAGGAGAATGAGGATTTAAAAAAGGCCATTGGATTTGGTGACTAAGATCTTTAGTAACTTGGGAGTTTTAGTGGCATGATGAGGCTGGAAGCTGCATTGGCTGGAAGCTGGATTGGATGGAAATGGATGCCCTTACTGAAGATGGTTCTCTCAAGGAGTTTAGTTACAAAGGGCAGAAGAGATAAAGGATGATAGTCTGAGGGTATGGAAGGATCACATGAAGGTTTTTCAGGATGGGGGAGACATGGACACATTTATAGGAAACAGGGCAATGAGTAAGTAGACATGGAGGGATGGAAAATAAGTAATAGAGTGGAATGACAGAGGGGGCACTCTGTTGGCTGAGATGGGATAGGATGGATCACTAGTGCAGGTGGGTCTTGGTAAGGAATAGGGCCATTTCTTCACATGAGATAAAGGTGAAGGAGGAGATAGTGGCAGAAGGCATATGAGTGATAGGAGATAGTCAAGGAGTCTCTGGTCTAATGACAGAGACCCAAGCCCTGTCTGATGCAGATGTTGAGGGGAAAGACAAGCAAACACAGAAAGAAGAACAGAACTAGCAGCAACTGTACAAATTTATGGCCACCAAGGTTGGGGTACATTGGGAGGAAGCCTCTCCAATGTGAGTATGACCTTCCTGAGGGCAGGACCCCATTATTTCCTCTTTTTTCTCCTATGATACCAAATCCTGCTTGATTCCAGCAGGAACATAGTAGGTCCACAGTAAATACCCATTGGCTTAAACGGACGTAACCGTATCTAATCAGAGAAGTCTTAACTGAGAAGGCGAGTTTTAGGACAAAAAGGAGGGATTGTTTTGGGGGGGTAGAGTGGGAGGGAGAGGGACAGGCTCAGGTTTGCCTTTGTTAGAGAGGAAATCTTTCCAGCTGCCTCCATACAAGAATACATCCATTGACCAAGGCTCTTTCATTTGGCATCTAGCCCCAGGGCTCTTCCTCCTCCTTGGTCAATCTTCTACCATCCTAGCTGGGAATGTTCTTTGTGATCCCTCCCTTCTTTCCTCCCCAATCACAACCAGACAGTAGATTGTAGAGTAACTCAAAGCCCAGCTGGAATGGCTTCTCCCAAGGCTGGGGCAGGAGGGCCTTGATATCTTGGTCTCTGTGTGAAAGGGGGTAACTCACAGCAGATGCTGCAAACAGTCTAAGACCCTGGGGGGAAAGGGGGTTGGGAAGGAAAGAGGAAGTGTTCTGCTATGATCTCTTTGATTAGATGCAGTTATTTGTTTAAGTCAATGGGTGTTTCCTGAGGATGGAGTCAATATAGACGGATATAGAGGGGTGGACAGACAGAGGCCAGCGTAACAAGGGACATTCTTTTTTTTGGTCTGGGCATGGGAATTTATTGGTGTAGGGAACTACTTTGTCAGGAAACTCCGTCTACCAATGCAGATCAGTGACTGCTTTGCAAGTTCAATCTCTAGAAGTTTGCCTCAAGCCCCGACCAAGGGGCTGAATAACTTATGTAGCCTGTATGTGGCAGAAACAGGACTTGAGTCCCTTGTCTTCCTGACTCCAAGGCTAGCTCTCTGACCACAGGAATGAGTGCAAGTCACAGGATCCAGTAAGGCTGTGTTAGAGACTGTGTGTTTGAGTCTCTGTGTGTCAATGGGTTGATCCACGATGTGTCCTCTCAGTCTAAATATTTGTGTGTCTGTCTCTGGTGTGCTAGCCTTTGATGCTGTCTCATTCCGTGTTTATATCGTTGAGTCTTTCTCTGCTGTGCATGTTTCTCTTTGTACAACTGTGTGTATGTGTATGTCTGTGTGTGTTTCTGTCTTTGTATCTATTTCTTTTTGATGAAAGCTGAAAAGCTGAAATCTTTCCCTGTACCCCTTCTACCTCCTGTAGGGGCTCTTCATCTACTGTCTGTGCCTGCTGACTTGGTGGGAAGGGGGGGCAGTCTCTTACCTGCCAGGACTCCAAGACCCTCCTCCTGCTCCTCATTACAGCCTTCCATGCTTTGGAGCTCTGCAGCCTGAAGAAAACAGAAGTGATCTCTGAGTTGGTTCTTTCCCTAGTTCTGTCCCCGCCCCCTTTCCTGCTTGCCACCCCATGGTAGGGCTGCTAGCCAAGAATTTGTTTGGCATTCCTCCCATTGGAGCTCTGGTTATCCACATACCCCGTCCTAGAACTGATTTTCCCACCCCTGATCTGTATCTAGGGGAGGAATTGATAAAGGTCTTGTGGCTTGGGGTCTCTGTGTGTGTACGTGGTTGTGTGTTGGGGGTGGAAGGAGGAACAAAAAGTCAGTGAGCAGGGTTGAACCCTGTCCTACTTCTACCCCACTAGTCTCAACTTTCTTCTTCAAATCTACCCTGGACAGATTAATCATTCCTACTGTCTATAGGACAAAGTCCATGATGCCGTCTCTCCACCACCCCTAAAGATGACTGGTTCTGGAGAACTGAGATGAATCCTGGCTCTACCACTTGGTACCCATGTGACCTTGGGCTCCTCACTGCCTTTCTTCACCTGTAAAATGAAGGGGGTGGATGATATGGTCTCTGAGCTCCCTTCGAGCATTAAATCTCTGACATTTTCAGTCAGTCTTTCCAGCTGTGAAAGGAGAAGGCTGGATCAGAGGGTCTGGACATCCCCTTCTATCTCTAATCCTTATGGACTTATGGTCCCTTAGTTCTCACTTTTCTCTTTATACAAACTCTCTGTTTCCACTAGGCATATGTTATCACTGTCTCTCAGACACCCTTAATTTGTTCATGCCTTCTCCCACTTTCTCTTATCTTCTCTGCCCCTCCAAATCCTACCCTAACCTTAACCCACACACTTAAAGGTCCAACTCAGCTCCACCCTCCTCCAGATAGATTGCCCTAGTGTTTCCCAACTCATTTCTCTTTTCCAAGCAATCCTACCACTCAGAGTCTGAACACAAGATGATTATCTTCTGTTTCACCGATAAGACTCTTGTTACCCCAATGAAACTGGAAGCTGTCAGAGGGTGGAACTCTGCCTTTTCTAGTTTCTCCCACAGTTATCCCAGCCAGGCCTGGTTACACTTACTTTGATTTGAATTGAACCATTGAACTAGACCAGGTGATTCATTGAATCCCCAAATATTAGCGTTAGAAGGAATCTTAGGGATATTCTAGTCCACCCCTCCCCCACCATTTTGGGGATGCATACCACTCCCTCTGGGAGCTGTTCACCAACCTGCATTCATACTCAAGGATTGGGGCCCACATGGTGGCTACTACCTGAGGTTCTATGGGTAGGTCTGTACGTTACCTACAACTTGAATTCACAAGCACCAGGTGGTACTTTCTTATGAGCAATCAGCCAGTAAGCATCGTTAGCTCTTATCAAAGTAATTTGCTCAAATGGCATAGCAGGAATAGTAGTAACAAAACATCCCCCCCCCCAAATCTGGCCCATACTCTCCCAGAAACACATGGCATCCAAGGGAAGGGTAGGCTCAAATTTAATAGCAGGGAGGTAGTGAGGAATACAAGCAGTTGTATGTATAGTGACGCAACCCAAAACTGCTGATTCTGTGGAGTCTGGAAGTATTTACTCCTCATAGTCTTCACACAGCTCCCTTTGCATGTAGGCCCTCTGCTAGGATGGGCTTATTTAACTCGGTTCCCAGACTCTTTTCTCTGCTGCCAGGGGTCACAATACTTGAAACTGCTTCCTTCTTAAAATGACTGTCTCTCCATCCATGTCTGTCTGGAGAGTGTGTCTATGTTAGATTCTGCTAGATAAAGTGTCTTCTACTGGTCTCTCTCCTCCCTACACCCTCTTCCCAACAGCCATGTAGCTTCAAAGGGGAGAAATTTCCTCCTCTCCCTCCTGCAGGGCTCTCTTCCACAGGCCACTCAATCCATCTCTGCCATTTCAGGAACTGCTGAAACTGGTCCAGGGCATAGTTGTTTAAGGTTCCTACAGGCCTGGCCATTTTGTTTGTTCAGTGAGTGCATTCTTGATTAAATCAGAGAATTATTTGCACCTCAAAAAGGGATCAGGACTTAGAGGCATTTTTACAGTTGGTTTAATGCCTATTAATGCATCGTGATTACATTCTGGGCCTTCTGTTACTGTTTCATGCAGGTGGGTGGTAGAATCTCCCCTCTTACAATGTCTTGTGGGCTTCTCCTGGACTAATCTAGCCTACCCAGGTCTCTGGGATGGATGGTCTGGTATGGAATGACAAATTCCCCACAACCAGAGATGATTCCCTTCTGCCCCCCGGCGAAGGCAATCCCATGCATCTCCAGCTAAAGACTCTTCAGTGTCATGATGTAGGAAGTTTATAAGAAAGAGATGGGCTTTCACCAACAGTTCACAGAATCACAATTAATCATTGTAATAATCCTTGCTCTTATGTGTCTCGATGAGTCAATCAAACAATAAGCATTTATTAAGCAACTGCTTTGTGCCCAAGAGAAACAATGACATCATGGGGTGATGTCTTGACTCAAGAGTGAATTGGATTTAAGGGAGGCAGAGTTGTGCAAAGTCCTCGGCCTCATTCTCTCTTCCAGAATCATTGAAGTTCGAGGGCAAGACAAAAGTCAGATCAACTGGTGATGGCCGAAATGCCGGCCTTGGGGTCTTCGATCAGACCAAGTTCTAAGCGCTCCACAGCACCTGCTTCAGTTCCTTCATGGCCCTTAGAACAAATTGTTCTCATCTGCCCATTCTACTGAGCTACAAAGACAAGGAAGCTGATCCTTGCTCTATGGAGATTACTCAGAACCTTACTGGGGGCAGCTAAGTGACACAGTGGATAGAGTGCCGGGCCTGAAATCAGGAAGACTCATCTTCCTGAGTTCAGATCTGGCCTCTTACTAGCTGTGTGACCCTAGGCAAGTCACTGAACCCAGTTTCTTCATCTGTAAAATGAGCTGGAGGAGGAAATGGCAAACCATTCCGGTATCTCTGCCAAGAAAACCCCAAATGAGGTCACAAAGAGTCGTGAGAGAAATGCTTATTAAATAACTAACTGTTAATATTGGGGATTTATCTATCTCTGAAACCTTATTCTCTACTGTGCTGAGACAGTAGAGACTGGATTGGGTTCTCCTTAATTTTGCCCAGACCCCACCTATGGTAGGGAATCTCATTGTGTTCTGCTCAGGTTTGGGTGGAGATAAATTCTTTGATTAGATTGCCCAAGGCTGGAGGTGATTTGGAAGTAAATGACTTGATCAAAGTCAGTCATTCCCCCCCCCCCAATGAAATAGGTCCACCTCTCTTTATAATATTCATTTTTTCTCATTACTTGTTAACTAATCAGAGTCGATTAAAACTCTCAGGCACACCCACTCTTCCAAGGGCATACAAGCATTGAGTAGGTTCCACGGGCATCTTTGGCATTCAAGAGTGTCACTGGCCCCTTTTATTAATTATTGCTAGCATGATTAACAAAATGATTAATTACCCAGAAATTATGTGTCTCGAACTTTTTAAACATCACAGTAGGATGTGATTGAAATGACTCAGCAACAACAAAAATGTGCCAGGCACTGTGCTAAGCGCTGGGGATACAAAAAAGTCAAAAGATTCTCCCTGCCCTCAAGGAGCTTACAGTCTAATGGGAGGAGACAACCAGTAAACAAATACATTCAAACAAGAAAGTGAAAAGGGCCAGGAAACTGGTAGATGGCCTGCTCTCCATACCATACCGCCTCACACGAGTAAGTGAATGCAGAGTGATATGGAGGAAAAAATACTGAATTTGCAGTCAGAGTCTGGGTTCAAGTGATCTGGGTTCAAATCCCAACTCTGCCACTTACTAGCTGTGTGACCTTGGGCAAGTCCCTGAACCTCTGAGCCTCAGTTTCCTCACTGGTAAAATGAAGGGGTCAGATGGTCTCAAAGAGCTCTTCCTGTTTTCAGTCCTAGCATCCTCTGCTGCGTCTATGATCCAAGACCATCCTGGCAGCGAGGGCTCACGGGAAAGAGCAGAAGGTCTCAACCTCTCCTCTTGCCCATTCACCCATCCCTTATAAAGAAAGGACTCATGGTCCCCTCCCCCATTCTCTCACATCCTCTTTCTCCCTGATTAGGGGAAAAAGAAGGGGAATCAAGGATTTTGTCAGCTGCCCTGGTTCCCCCACTGAAAGCACTTTGAGGTTTGCGGGGTAGGGCTGGCTAAATTGTGTGAGCCTGGGTTGGAGGGACTGGGCAGCAGACCAGTATGGGGATTGAGGCCCTTTTTTGGCTCTGTGTCCTGCCATGCTATGGGACGCCTGGTGGTTTTCTTTCCCTTTCTGGGCAAAGATCCTACCACCTCATGGTGCAAACCACATACATACACAGAGACCCCACACCACATGACCTAACCTACTACCCCTAGAACCTGAAATAGTAGCTTCCCCATTTTTTACCAATCTGCCTGGAACTAAGTGAGGGGAAACTCTATTTAACTCATCTCAAGGAGATCTTAAAATGCAGGATGTAGGCCCCCTTCCTTGGCACCTCCCCCACCCCAGGAAGACAGATGAGGTGACTCCTGGGGTCCCCCTTTTCTTTTGTTCTGATTCTCCAAGAAGCTTGGCTGGGTGAAACGTAATGTTGCATCAGGATTTCCTCTTCTGCTAGCCCCACAGAACTCATAACAGTCCCCCTGCCCCCACCTCCTCTAGTCCAAGCAGGACAAACCAAAAAGTGGAAGTGGAAGTGAAAGTGAAAAACTGAGGACAGAAACCAGTCCCTTCCACCCTGCCCAGAGCCCTGAGGGCTCCTGGTCTCATAGAGCTCAGTGGATCCTCCTGGGGAGGGGAGCTCCTGGGTCTGGGGGCTCCGCCAGAGGAGCTGAAGCCGGACCGGTTTTCTGCCTTCGGGTGGGTTTGGAATGTCCTCCACTGCAGTCTCTGCAGCTCCCACTGATCTCTCCCTTCTAAGAACTTCTTCGGACTTAAAGCCTATCCTTCATAGTTACTCTTTTTTGTTCCATGTAAGAGTAGCAATAGACTGGACTCTGAGGGCAGGCTTCCTGTCTTTCTTGGTGGTGCAGTGGATAGAGGGCTGGACCTTAAATCCCGAAGACCTGAGTTCAAATCTAACTTCAGATACTAGCTAGCTGTGTGACCCTGGGCAAGTCACTTAACCTCTGTTTGCCCCAGTAGTTTCCTCAACTATAAAATAAGGATAGCACCTACCTTATTGTGAGGATCAAATGAGATATTTGTAAAGTAGTATAGTGCAGTTCTTGGTACTAGTACTAGGTATTAGTACTACCCACTAGTACCAGGTGCTTGGTCACTTCCCTTTCCTTCCTTCATTATCCCCAAAGTACTCAGCAAATGATGGACTGAGATCAGAACATGGGCTTAGGACAGGTTGATGGAGGGATCTAGCAAAAAGCACTTATTGAGCACCTACTGTGTGCCAGGGA